CAAAATAAATTATATTTATTTTTAAAATATTGGGATAAAACAAAAATTTTTTCTGAAATCTTATCGTATAGAAAGAAACGATAGCTCATATGAAAGTACATTAAAAGGTGATAATAAAAATGGTGAGTCGAATTAATATACTTCCATTACCCCAAAGTTATAATCCCTCGAATAAAATCCCAAAATAAATTATATTTATTTTTAAAATATTGGGATAAAACAAAAATTTTTTCTGAAATCTTATCGTATAGAAAGAAACGATAGCTCATATGAAAGTACATTAAAAGGTGGGTAATAAAAATTGTGAGTCGAATTAATATACTTCCATTACCCCAAAGTTATAATCCCTCGAATAAAATCCCAAAATAAATTATATTTATTTTTAAAATATTGGGATAAAACAAAAATTTTTCAGAAATCTTATCGTATAGAGAGAAACGATAGCTCATATGAAAGTACATTAAAAGGTGATAATAAAAATGGTGAGTCGAATTAATATACTTCCAATACCCCAAAGTTATAATCCCTCGAATAAAATCCCAAAATAAATTATATTTATTTTTAAAATATTGGGATAAAACAAAAATTTTTCAGAAATCTTATCGTATAGAGAGAAACGATAGCTCATATGAAAGTACATTAAAAGGTGATAATAAAAATGGTGAGCCGAATTAATATACTTCCATTACCCCAAAGTTATAATCCCTCGAATAAAATCCCAAAATAAATTATATTTATTTTTAAAATATTGGGATAAAACAAAAATTTTTCAGAAATCTTATCGTATAGAGAGAAACGATAGCTCATATGAAAGTACATTAAAAGGTGATAATAAAAATGGTGAGTCGAATTAATATACTTCCAATACCCCAAAGTTATAATCCCTCGAATAAAATCCCAAAATAAATTATATTTATTTTTAAAATATTGGGATAAAACAAAAATTTTTTCTGAAATCTTATCGTATAGAAAGAAACGATAGCTCATATGAAAGTACATTAAAAGGTGGTAATAAAAATTGTGAGTCGAATTAATATACTTCCATTACCCCAAAGTTATAATCCCTCGAATAAAATCCCAAAATAAATTATATTTATTTTTAAAATATTGGGATAAAACAAAAATTTTTCAGAAATCTTATCGTATAGAGAGAAACGATAGCTCATATGAAAGTACATTAAAAGGTGATAATAAAAATGGTGAGTCGAATTAATATACTTCCATTACCCCAAAGTTATAATCCCTCGAATAAAATCCCAAAATAAATTATATTTATTTTTAAAATATTGGGATAAAACAAAAATTTTTTCTGAAATCTTATCGTATAGAAAGAAACGATAGCTCATATGAAAGTACATTAAAAGGTGATAATAAAAATGGTGAGCCGAATTAATATACTTCCATTACCCCAAAGTTATAATCCCTCGAATAAAATCCCAAAATAAATTATATTTATTTTTAAAATATTGGGATAAAACAAAAATTTTTTCTGAAATCTTATCGTATAGAAAGAAACGATAGCTCATATGAAAGTACATTAAAAGGTGATAATAAAAATGGTGAGTCGAATTAATATACTTCCATTACCCCAAAGTTATAATCCCTCGAATAAAATCCCAAAATAAATTATATTTATTTTTAAAATATTGGGATAAAACAAAAATTTTTTCTGAAATCTTATCGTATAGAAAGAAACGATAGCTCATATGAAAGTACATTAAAAGGTGGTAATAAAAATTGTGAGTCGAATTAATATACTTCCATTACCCCAAAGTTATAATCCCTCGAATAAAATCCCAAAATAAATTATATTTATTTTTAAAATATTGGGATAAAACAAAAATTTTTCAGAAATCTTATCGTATAGAGAGAAACGATAGCTCATATGAAAGTACATTAAAAGGTGATAATAAAAATGGTGAGTCGAATTAATATACTTCCAATACCCCAAAGTTATAATCCCTCGAATAAAATCCCAAAATAAATTATATTTATTTTTAAAATATTGGGATAAAACAAAAATTTTTCAGAAATCTTATCGTATAGAGAGAAACGATAGCTCATATGAAAGTACATTAAAAGGTGATAATAAAAATGGTGAGTCGAATTAATATACTTCCATTACCCCAAAGTTATAATCCCTCGAATAAAATCCCAAAATAAATTATATTTATTTTTAAAATATTGGGATAAAACAAAAATTTTTTCTGAAATCTTATCGTATAGAAAGAAACGATAGCTCATATGAAAGTACATTAAAAGGTGATAATAAAAATGGTGAGTCGAATTAATATACTTCCATTACCCCAAAGTTATAATCCCTCGAATAAAATCCCAAAATAAATTATATTTATTTTTAAAATATTGGGATAAAACAAAAATTTTTTCTGAAATCTTATCGTATAGAAAGAAACGATAGCTCATATGAAAGTACATTAAAAGGTGATAATAAAAATGGTGAGCCGAATTAATATACTTCCATTACCCCAAAGTTATAATCCCTCGAATAAAATCCCAAAATAAATTATATTTATTTTTAAAATATTGGGATAAAACAAAAATTTTTTCTGAAATCTTATCGTATAGAAAGAAACGATAGCTCATATGAAAGTACATTAAAAGGTGATAATAAAAATGGTGAGTCGAATTAATATACTTCCATTACCCCAAAGTTATAATCCCTCGAATAAAATCCCAAAATAAATTATATTTATTTTTAAAATATTGGGATAAAACAAAAATTTTTTCTGAAATCTTATCGTATAGAAAGAAACGATAGCTCATATGAAAGTACATTAAAAGGTGATAATAAAAATGGTGAGCCGAATTAATATACTTCCATTACCCCAAAGTTATAATCCCTCGAATAAAATCCCAAAATAAATTATATTTATTTTTAAAATATTGGGATAAAACAAAAATTTTTTCTGAAATCTTATCGTATAGAAAGAAACGATAGCTCATATGAAAGTACATTAAAAGGTGATAATAAAAATGGTGAGTCGAATTAATATACTTCCATTACCCCAAAGTTATAATCCCTCGAATAAAATCCCAAAATAAATTATATTTATTTTTAAAATATTGGGATAAAACAAAAATTTTTTCTGAAATCTTATCGTATAGAAAGAAACGATAGCTCATATGAAAGTACATTAAAAGGTGATAATAAAAATGGTGAGCCGAATTAATATACTTCCATTACCCCAAAGTTATAATCCCTCGAATAAAATCCCAAAATAAATTATATTTATTTTTAAAATATTGGGATAAAACAAAAATTTTTTCTGAAATCTTATCGTATAGAAAGAAACGATAGCTCATATGAAAGTACATTAAAAGGTGATAATAAAAATGGTGAGCCGAATTAATATACTTCCATTACCCCAAAGTTATAATCCCTCGAATAAAATCCCAAAATAAATTATATTTATTTTTAAAATATTGGGATAAAACAAAAATTTTTTCTGAAATCTTATCGTATAGAAAGAAACGATAGCTCATATGAAAGTACATTAAAAGGTGATAATAAAAATGGTGAGCCGAATTAATATACTTCCATTACCCCAAAGTTATAATCCCTCGAATAAAATCCCAAAATAAATTATATTTATTTTTAAAATATTGGGATAAAACAAAAATTTTTTCTGAAATCTTATCGTATAGAAAGAAACGATAGCTCATATGAAAGTACATTAAAAGGTGATAATAAAAATGGTGAGCCGAATTAATATACTTCCATTACCCCAAAGTTATAATCCCTCGAATAAAATCCCAAAATAAATTATATTTATTTTTAAAATATTGGGATAAAACAAAAATTTTTTCTGAAATCTTATCGTATAGAAAGAAACGATAGCTCATATGAAAGTACATTAAAAGGTGATAATAAAAATGGTGAGCCGAATTAATATACTTCCATTACCCCAAAGTTATAATCCCTCGAATAAAATCCCAAAATTTAATTTTGGAAAAAAATTTAGGCTGTTATTGCCAAAAGCTTGAGGAATTTGTTAAAATTGTCGAAGAAATTGAAGGTTTAAAAATTTTTTTAATTCAAGTGAATTTTTCAAGTCTCGTCGACGTACTGTTGTGCATTAAAATTTGCTTCTTCAGAAATTCGTTTTGATATTGATCCGGAAACTGGGGCTCTTGTTAAAGTCTTAGAGAAGCAACATTTGAGACTATGTTTGCTTTTTATTTTCTTTATAAAATTCTTTAAAAAAATTTTTAAGGTCCATGATAGAAGAATTCATTTTGTTGGCAAATATTTCTGTTACTGAAAAAATTCACGAATATTTACTTCTCCAATTCGTCGTATCCTTGTCTTCCTGCTGTTGCTATTGGAATATGTTCAAATGAAATTCAGGTAGTGGAGGGAGGAGTTTTCTTATCGGGGATATTAATTCTAAATTAATTGGTGTTAGTATTTATACCTCTAATTTAAGGTAATGGACCCAAATTTGGCTTTGAATCAACAATTTATTTTAATGAAAATCTGAAACTTGGACCTATTATGCTCGACTTTTTTATGACGCTCGTGGAGGGACACGCCCAAGTGGGCGCGCGGCCAGGTAGGCGCAAAGCCATAACTACCTGGAAAATTTCTGGACCTTAACAATTTTGGTACCAATCTCTTTAGCTCTATGAGAGGAATCGTTTAATACTAAATTTGTTAGGATTCAGAAATCTTGAAGCAAGTTAGTTATACCTTTGCGCCTACTTGGCCGCTCGCCTACTTGGGCTGTACCCGCTCGTGGACTTTATTTTTTCCTGATTCTTTTTTAAATTGATTTTTAATGTTTGTTTTTTTTAAATTATTTTTTATTTTATAAAATTTATTTCCTGCAGCCTTATTTTCATTACTTTTAACAGGTTAAAACCTGAATTAATATTTTTACCCAATTTTCATTTCCAAAATAATCAATATTTTGGCCAAAAAGGGCGCGCGGCCACAATTTTTTTAAAGTTAATTAAAAGCCTCTCTCTATGTTGGAGTTATGGGCATCAGACGTTGGAACTCTATCTTTGGATTTATTTTTGGTTTATTTTTAAGTTGGCTAATTTTTGGAGGAAATAAAGAAGTTGAATTGAATAGAGAAGAAGAAAATTATGGAGGAAGGGAAGGAGGAATTCAATTAGCTGAAAATTGGGAAAGAATAATTTTGGAACAAAAACATGAAGAGAATGGACAAAATAATTTTGTTAATCAACATATTAAGGTTTTAATTATTTTTGAAATATTCTTTAAACGTCTTGAGAAAGATTACGTTAGTGTCCCGACCAGGGATTTTATTGTTTGGGAAAAGAATTTGGGGTTGTTGGTGTTCTGGTTTCCATTTTCAATATTTTCTTAGACGGGTTTAAGGTCAAACTAAAGATCGTGGCCGGGTCGGGTTTTCAAAATTTTTTTCGGATGAGGACGCGGGCCAAAAAAAAGTTCGGGCCGGATCAGTGAAAAAATTCAAGGGAGGGTCGGGTTTTCGAAGATTTCTCGGGTCTGATCAAAAAAGTTAGGAGTTTCGGATGATTCGTGACATCCTTGCTTCTACAGAGAAAATTAATTTTTATCTACGCCCCTTCCCCCCCCCCCCTCCCAATTTTTACAAAATTCTAAAACAATTTTTAAAAAGCTTTTTACCTTTAGTTGAATCGCCCTCGTTTTGCAGCAACAGAATTGGGTATTCGGCCAAACCTTTTAATATTTTTATTGGCCCGTACGTCTACTGCCGCTTCCTTATATCAATTATTGTCTCGTAAAGTGCCTGTCAAAATTTTGGTTTCTGCTGGTAAACTTGCTGCTTCTGATTTTCCTTCAAATTCTCAGCCAATTATTGTTCGTTCAGATCCTGTTTCGTTGCTCAATGCCATTGCCAATATTGTAAGGTTTATTTTTTTTAATAAATGGGATACGGACAGGCCCGTGCTCAGGGATGTCATAAGCTGACACTGAGAAGATAGTTGAGTGGGGTTTAAAAAATTGCCTTCTGACCGGGTTCCGGGTCGAAAGAAGTTCGGCTCATTGTCAGTAAGGGTGATTAATAGGGCAAAAGGGTTCGGATCTAAAAAAGTAAAGGTTTCTGGTAGCCGGTGACACTCCTGGCCGTTCATGCAGGGGGATCCTGGTTACGTGCCTGGGAGTGGAGGAGAGGATTCGGTACAGGAGTTGAGCTTCGGTAAAGGAAACCCCTTGCTTTTTAGTCCAAATAGATTCATTTCAATTTTTTTCTAGTCTATCAACAACTCAGCAAATTGGTACTTACTTTTACCAGATTCAACATTTGTCAATATTTATGAATTAGAACGACTTGTAAATTCACTTTTATGGAATTCCCCCGTCGCTTTTGGATGGAATATTAACGAACTAAAAAATAAAAACCAAAATGAAGAAGATGGAGGTCATTGTCTTGTTGAAGCTGGAATTTTATTTTCATCACCAGCAATGAATGTATTAGCTCAAGGAAGGCATTTATGTAATGGATTGGCTTTAGGAGCTTCAGGGAATGGAGAGGTTTTTTTAAAGATTTTTGAAATTTTTAAAAATTTTTTAAATTAAAAAATTTTCTCTAAAAAGAATTTTGCTTTGGAAACGTGTATTCGTCTAGCAGCGAATCTAAGTTGTGTTTCAACATTTCAAGGATACGAGCATCGTTGGTGGCGTGTTTCTTCTGATGATCAACAGAGCCTTTCTCCGTCTATACATGGTTTGTTTGTTGTTTTTTATTACCAGTGATGGGAACTTTCGGATTTCCTCGACGGATCCCTATACTTGGTCCTTTTCAAATCTCAAGAGGAGGGGTGGAGTAGACAAAGAAAATCCTGGCTTTGGGTTTGAGGGAGGGGAAAATTTGTTGTCTCTTACCCTACTGCGCAACATTTTACTTATTTTCGGCTTGTATTCGTCCATGTGCTACGAGGGTCCAATCACAAGTTATTTTAAAAAATTTTAAAGCTCCCATGATTTTTTAGATCAAATTGAACGTCTTGCTCTCCTTCCTCTTTTCAATAATTCATTAACTATTTCTCCATTACTTTCCGAATTGGATATATCTGCTTTAACCAAGCATTTTTTAAATGTTGAATTTACTCGAACTGAAGAAGAAATCAAATCGTTAGAAGAAGAAACAGAAAAGTATTATTCAAAAGAAGAGACTGGATGGCCTATTGGAATTATGGATGCTTCAAAACCATTAAATCGATTTCAAGGTTTTTTCAAAAAAAATTTTTCGGTACTTCCTTTCATGGGGAGTAAGAGAGTAGATTAGGTCTCCTTCCCCTCCACTATATGATCCCTTTCGACAAGTCCCTGTGTGTCGTTAAGTACCCAAGACTAGTATCCAACGAATGGGTCTGTATTTGGGAGGTGTATCAGAACTTTAGGTTAATAGAGCTATTTCTATTCCATTAACAGATTTTTTGAGACTACAAGAACCTACATATTGAAAGGGATCATATGGGGGAGGGGAACGACAATAGTGCTAATTTTTATTAAACAATAAAAACTTTCCCCTTTTCAGCTCCAGTATGGGAATTAGTTACTTCAGATTGGAAAAGATTTAGTAACAATCCAGAAGAAAGCAGTGCTGATTTGAGTGAAGATGAACGTGTAGAATGGACACAAGTATTTAACGAAGCATTAACTAAAAGCCAATGTTTAAATGATGGAGCAAAATTTGTTGAAGGATACAAGTTTGTTTATGTTTAAAAATAAGGTTGATGGTCTATTTTATGTTTTCCAATGAAATTTTTGAGCCCAATGAAGCTTTATAAATCTACTGCCCTTTTATGAAGCCTAACAAAATTTTTATGAGTCCAATAATGACTGAACAAAATTTTATAAGCACGATGAAGAAAGTAGTGCTGACTTTAGTGAAGATGGTGTTTGTATAAGTACCAGGGATTTCATGTGTTGAGAATTTTGAGTTTGGTTTTGGAAAACTTCTCGGATTGGGTTTAGGGTCTGAAAAAAGTCTGGGTTTCAACATCGTTTCATTGGACTCATAAAGGTTCATAGGACGCTTAAACTAGACCAGAGCCTAGAGAGTATTTTTTCAATAAATTTTTTAATTTTTAGACATTTCAACCCTACTCGAGGAATTGATTATTTAATTGATTTGGATTGCGATAATTCAGAAATATTTGAAACGATACAAGTTAGCAGACCAATACATTCTACAAAATTGTTGGAAAAAGTCCCTTATGTTAAAGAGGATCGAGAAATTGCTCTTTTAGGTTTCTTTTTTAATTAAATTTTAAAAAACTTGGGCAAATTTTTTCTAGTCCCAGTCGAAACTCCAGCTCAAATTTACAGTCTTCATCCCCTTTTGCGTCGAATTTTATCAATTTGTATGTCTGGAGCAGTAGAAGGACGTCAATTAAGAGTTTTGGTTGCTGCTAGAAATGTTGAAGCATTGCCCCTTCGATTGTTGGGGGAAAACTTGGCAGAAATGAGACGAAGGTTTGGATGAGAATTTTAAATTTATTTTTAAATAAAATTTTTAATTAAAATATATGATGCCAAGTACTAAACGCCGAAATGTGGACAGTATTTTCTGTACCCATGGGGCCTTATTTTTTAATCATCATTCTAAGGGGCTTTATTAAAGAGGGAGCTCTATTTTTCAACAACCTTCCATGATGATGGAGCAATCTTCACTTTTGTTGAAACAACCTTCCTCGTGATTGAAACGTCCCTTTTATGTTTGTATTTTTCCTGTTTGGTATTTCGGTGGCCTTTGGGATCTGGTATTTCGGTGTTTAGTACTACGGCGCGCTCTCAATTAGAAAATAGTAAAATAAACCAAATTTCAAATTTCTTTTTTTAAAGATGTCGTTCAATGGAATCAGACCTTTTACTTCTCAAACCAGATCCAAATTATCGAACAACAATAGAATTAGCAGCATTGGATGAAGCGGTTTTTCTTTTTTATTTTTTAAAAATTGAAAAAAAAATTTTTTAAAAAAGGTTGATCGTTTTGGACAACAAAATCTTTTCTTGCTTCTTTCACCATTTTCTGATTTTCAACCAGATTTTCTTGATCGAGTCCGGTTAAATACAATTCAACATTTTCAAGTCTTTTTTCCTATTGGGTTTACAGAATTTAATCAAATTGTAACTGGATTAACACCTAAAGAAGCTGAAGCATTTGTAATTCATAAAGATAGGGGAAGATTTGATTCGGATGATGAATGGCCAGTAGCTGCATTATTTGGGTTTATTTTTATAATTATTTTTTGTAATAGAATTCCATGGGGTTCTAGATTTCAACAATCCTTTAAGTAGGGGGGGGGTATAGAAAGGAGGGAGTTTTAATATAAAGGAGGGAGTTCCATTTTTCAATTATCCTCTAGAGAGGGAGGCTTTATTAGGAAGACTTTTCAACCGTCCTCTAGGGGGAGGTGTTTTATTAAGGGGCTATAATACAAATAAGCCTATATTGGTAAATCAGCCGCTAAAGGAGGCTTTAATACAAACAATAGATGGTTCACTTTTTTCAACTTTTCTTTAAAAATTGAGGGGATTTTTTAGGAGAAGGCTCTAAAACACACATATCTGGTATTGGGGGAGCCTTTATTGTTAAATCAGCCTCCAAAGGGAGACTTTATTTCAAAGGGTGGCTTCAATTTTCAAACCTCTTAAAAAAGGGAGGGGATCTATTTAGGAGAAGGCTCCAATACTAAGGTTTCTTTAATAAAGAAAATTTGGTATTTTACTCATTCTTTCTTTTTTTAGTGCCGATTTTGCTTCAGCTCGTATTCTTCATCCAAATGCTCGTTCAGTCGTTACACTTTTCCTCAATCAATCAAATGTCCACATTTTCCGTTCAGTCGAGCCTTCACTAAGAATTAGACCACATTTACGTGTTTGTACTTTTGAACATTATTACCCATCTATTGAACAAAGACAACGTTGTGAAAGACGTAGAAGATTGGCACTTGGAACGAGAGCACAATTAGCAAAACTTTTTCTTCTGGCAATAACTCCGTCAAATGGATTCGCATAATTTTTTTATTTCTATTCTCTCACTAATTCTAAATGTGCATTACCTATATATTTTTTGCATTTTTGCCATTATTTTTATAATTGCAATCCCAGGTTTTTTTAAATAATCTTTGTATAATTAAAAATTTTTATTTTTAGTTGTGATAGCAATAAAATAAAGATAGATAGCTCTAACCAACAAATAAACCGTTCCAGCCCCTAACCTCCTTGAGGGGGCAACCTCTATACTTCCTTTGGTGGGTATACCAATAATAATTTTTAGGGTCAATATTAGTCCTTTTAAAAGCTTCTCCCCACTAAAATACCCCATTGAAAAATAAAAGTCCCCTCTCTAATAGAGGCCCATCCAAAATCACTCAAAATGACCTTTCGAAAAATAGAAGCCCACTCTCTAATATAGGCTCATTCTCATATAACCCCACTGAAAAAATAGAAGCCCAGGCGGGAGGGTTAATTAGAGCACCTACGGAATCTTACAAAAAAAAGTCTTTAAAATACTTAAAAATTCTCTCATTTCTTTGCATCAATTAAAAGATTAAAATTAGCCAAAAAATCGTGCACAACAGCAAAGGCAACATTTAATTGTTGAATTAATTCTACAATTTTAGGCATTTGACATTCTGCTTGGAAAACCTTTAAAAATTGAGAAAATTTAAAGAAAATAATTTTTAAAAAATTAACCGTGACAGTTTGTGTCCCTTCTTTTTGTGCAACCTGATAAGCAGCACAAATTAATTTTGCTGAAGACAAGTAAAAAGAAAGAAGAATATCGTGAGGCAATGGAGGCACAAATGATTTTATCGGATGGAAATTACAAAGCTCCGTTAAGGATTTCTTTTTTGGGCTGAAAAAGAAAATTTTTTGAGAATTTTTTTGAAATTTCAAAAAAAAATTCAGAAAATAAAAAAATTTTTTACGTTGTCAAAGAAGACCGGGAAAGTTTAATATCATTTTTAACAGATTGAAAAATTTGAAGCAAAAGTTGGCTTGTATCCGCTCCTTTTTGTATTGCTTCTGCATATAAACGTTGTCCCTTGAAATTCAAAAAATTATTTAAAGAAATAAAAAAAAAGAATACTCGATATAAAGAACCCAGAGCCCTCACAATTGTATTGGCAGCATCTTGAAGTTGTTGCTGGAAAATGAACAAATTAAAGAAAATTGAATTTAGTTTTTTCCCTTCCCCAAAGTTTTAACAATGATTAGACTTTGCTTCCTCCCTCAACTTTACTCTCTATTTCCTTATGGCAAAGACAGGGGATCTCTATTTACCATAGGGATCAGAAATATTAAAAAATAAATTTTGATTATGGTTGAGGACCTTGATCAGATTCTTGACATTGAGTCAATGAAAAATCAAGTTCAAGAGAAAGATCAAGGTCTGAATCCAGATCCAGGCCAATCCCTAATTTACCAATTTTTAATCACTTACTATTTTCCAATGGACATCTGGTTGGGCTGTTGCTCGATAAAATCCAGAAGCACTTTTTGCGTACTTTAGAGAAACCTGAGAAAATTTTTTGAAAGTTTTTAGGTCAAAAAATTAAATAAAAACCTCAGCTTGCACAACACTATCTCCAACCAAAATAACCAAAGCAGTCAAATTGCTCTCTTGTGGAGGGACAACTTTTGAAGACAATTGAAAACGCTCAGTTGAAGGTTTTGCTCGAGGTTCTGAAGCTAATGTTGGGTCTGAACATTTGTGTTGGGCATTTAAACGACGACAACAATCAGCTAGCAAATAACGGAGCTTAAAAGAAATTTTTTTTAGAAATTTCCGAAAGGGTGGACCCTACGGCCGGGGAGTTGCGGGGAATTCATGTTCTGTGGCTATCCTCGTGGAGTCGCTTCGAACGGGGCTTCCCCGGGTAATCCTTTCCTTGGAGGCAGAGACAGGGAGGAAAGGGTGTCCCGGGGAAAAGCAGTCCACGGGCCGGGGGAGAAAAAATCCTACTAAGTGTAAGAACAGGAGTTGCGAGGAATTCAAGTTCCGAGCTTCCTTCGGGGAATCTCTTCGGACAGGGCTTCCCCCGGGTAATCCCTTACCGGGGACGGAGGTCGAACCCTAATTCAAATTAAAAATTTAAAAAACCTGTTCAATAGTAGACGAAGCCCTAGCTTTTTGAAACCATTCAGATTCTAATTGTAACCGATTTTCTAAGGAAACAACTTGTGTTGATTCGTCTGATGAATAAGAATATTCTTCTTCCTCGTCGTTAATCATTTATTTAAAGAATTTCTCTCGAGATTAATCAAATCGCCTGATTTTTGAGATTTCTCTTTATTTTCTCTTTCACAAATTTTGCCAATTCCATATTTCGCCAATATGGCTAAAGACCACAATTTGCCAATAAAATTTTTGTCACAACGTGAGTTATTGGCAAAATATGGGGGAGCTACGAGGAAAGACTACGAAAACTTCGAGGAATTTTCTGAGGGAAATGGGATTGTAGAGATTCCTTTAAGGGAATATGAGGATTGTGATCTGTTGAGTTATAGGGTTACAAAAATCAAATTTTCCAATAAAAAAATTTTTTTGGCATTCTGTTTATATCGATTTTAAAGAAAATAGTACAGCTAGAGATGCAGTCTTTTATTTTTTTTAATAGGACATTTGAGTATTGGTGTATTTTGTCTGTTTTTTAATAATCCACGCCTTTTTTAGATTTTTTTTTCGTTTAAATAATTTTTTTTTCTTTTAGAGACTTCTTCAAAATTTGTATTTACTGATTGATCACCATGAGGATAAAGAAAAAGGTTTTTTAACGTTCATTTTATCAAAAAAACGTCTTTTTCAGTACACAACAGGAACAGCAGCAACCTACATTTCAAGAAAGAAGGCTCTCAGAAAGCTTCAATTAAGCCTCAAGGATTTTGGAAGGCTTTGCATTCTTAAAGGAATTTACCCGAGAGAGCCGAATCATTTAAAGAAGGCAAATAAAGGAGGAAGTACTGAACCTAAAATTTATTACCACATTAGAGATATTAAATTTCTTGCTCAGGAACCGTTAATCAACAAATTTAGAGAATATAAGGTTTTTTAAAATTTTTTTTTAATTTATTTATTCTCTTCATTTTCTTAAAGATTTTTCTCAAAAAAGTTAATCATGCAAGAGCAAAGAAGGAAGAATTGAAAGTTAAAAGTTTGTTTCGTCGAAAACCGAAGTTTACTTATGATCATATTATCAAAGAACGGTATATATTTTTTAGAAAATTTTTGGGAAGGGGTTGTGGTTTCTATTAGTGACCGGTCTGGTATGTGAGGGTCATGAGGGAATTGAGTTCATTTTTGAAAACTTGATCTATTTTCTTATGGATCTCGTCTCCGTCCAATTTTTAGTTTTTATTTGTCCAACCCCGGGACCCAGGCCCTTAGCCAGGATTTTTTTTGGGGTGAGAGGCAAGGGGAAAAATTTTGATTTTTAACGCCGTAGGCAAAAATTTTAAAAGTTTTAAAGCCTCCCTGGGAGCCTGCTGGGACCTATCTACCCAAATGTCACTTACTTTACCTGCCATTGTCACTGACATCAAGCCACTCACAGCCCCAAATCTCTTTCGTTAATTATTTACAATTTTTCTAGTTACCCAACATTTATTTCTGCCTTACGCGATTTGGACGATGCTCTTTGTTTGTGTTTTGCATTTGCTGCTTTAACGCAATCTAGAGTTGCCAATTCAAAATTAATTAATCGATGTCGGCGTTTGACAATTGAATTTATGCATTATATTATTGAATCTAAATCACTTAAAAAGGTATTTTAATATTTTTCTATTTTATGTAAGACGGAAAAATCTAAGGACGACCCTTCAAATTTTATTTTTTCGATAGGGGAGGATAGCCAACTATCCGCGCAGTTTTGGGTTTGCGTTAGTTTAACCGTGCGCCGTTTTTGGGCATGTTTTATTGTTAGTAAAAAATAAAATATAATTTATTGTTTTGTGTCTTGGTTCAGTCGGTAATGTGCATGTTCACTTCCGTAAGCGTTGTGGGTTCGATACCCACTAGTTGGCAACAATTTGTTTATTTGATTATAATCGTTTAATTTTGATACCCTTTATTTTTTTTAATTCAAAATTTCTAAAAAAATTTTTTTAAAGGTTTTTATCTCAATAAAAGGAATTTATTATCAAGCAGAAGTTATGGGTGAAAGAATAACTTGGATTGTAGGCCATGAACGTTCTGTTGGACGTGCAAATGAACTGGATTTAACGGTTTATTTTTTATAAAAAATTTTTTGAATATTTTTTTATATTTTAGACAGTTGCTTATTTTGTTGAATTTTATTCTGTTTTGCTTAGTTTTGTCAATTTTCGACTTTACAAATCTATTGGACTTTTTTATCCGCCACAGCTTCAATTAAAACAAAATAAATCGGAGAATGAAGGTTTGGGGGGCTTTTTATATTTATTTTAAATTTAAAAAGTGGATAGGATCTTTGAAAGACTGGAGGGAAAGGCTTGTCGAGTATGTCGACTATATTTACTAAAGTGTGCCTTTTGGTATAGTTGGGAACGTTGCTGGACATTGAACCTCCGACTCCTACCTTGAAATCTTAATTCTATTACTAGGTATTTCAAAATCGACTCCGACCGGTCTGAAGCTACCTCCCTCAACCATACCCATAATTAATTGGGAATCTAACCGTTTCAATTACTCATTAAAATATTTAAATTCAATCCCCCATTGATGAAAACTTTTTGGAGGGGTTTTGTATGCCAAAAAGACATCTTTAAATATTTAAACCTTTTAATCATTTAAATTTATTTTTAACATTTTTCAATATTTTTTCAGTCACTTCTACACCTTCATTTACTCATTTGGATGATCGTGTATTTTCTTTAGCATTTCCATTAGCTAAAATTGAAAAAACTGAAGAGGAATTGGATATTTGTCAAATTGATACTTTTGAAAAAGAAGAAGACGAAAATGATGAAGAGGGAAAAGAAGATGTGAAAGAAATTAAAGAGGAAGATTTGGGTGAATTATTAAGACAAAATGAAGCATTAAAAACGTTGTTCTCAAAAATGAGATTTTTTATTAATAGAGAAGTTCCTAAAGAACCTTTAACTTTTGTTATACGTGCTGGGTAAATTTTTTTTGAATTAAAGGGGTTGGGAGATTTTCTAGGACCTTTTTGGACTTTCAAAAAACTTTCAAAGACCCTGAAATGATTTTTAAACTTTTTGGTTGTCTGAAGCCCCTAGTTGCACCCTGGTAATAACCCTAACATAAGACACTCTTCTAGAAGGTCACAATTCTTAAAAACTTTTGGATGCTTCTTGTGCTTTGACTGAAGCTCCTAGTTGCTCCCCATTGATAAGCTTAGTGTTAACATAAACATTTCTCTTGGGGGACATAATTTTTGTAAGAGATTCTTGGTTTTAATTCAGATTGCTTCTTGTGTCTATAAAATTTTTCAAAAAATTATTTAATTTCAGTGGTGGTGATGTTTGTTGGGAAGATTGTTATCCTGTTGGATCAATTACAAATGTATCTAGTGAATCAATTACACATCAAATTGTTGATAGAGAAATGAAGGAAATGATTATAAATAGGTTTTTAATTAAATAAATTTTTTCTCAAAAACTTAAAAAATTCTTTTGAAAATTTTTCGAAAAATTTTCAGCTCCCTTGGGGAGAGGGTAAAAAGGGGAGGAATTTTTTCCAAAAAATTTTTCAAAACAAAATTTTTTTCAGAATATATATTCAACCTCAATGGATATTTGATTGTTTCAATTCTCGTCGTTTACTACCTACTATATTGTATGCTCCATCAACAACATTACCTCCACATTTATCCCCATTTATTGGGGATAATGAAAGATTAAATAATTCTTTGTTAATAAATAATGAACAACAACAAAAGAATAAAGAGGATGAAACAAAAGTAGAAGAAGGAAATGTGGAGGGAAAATCAGACGAAAAAGGTTTGGTTTTTATTAGAGAGTTGGACATAAGAGGTCTTCGATTATCGCCTGTTTTCGACCTCAGGTTTCGGTTCGGTTAACCGTTTATGTCCAATAGAGATCCGTCTGGATCTGGATCCAGTCTGGATTTTTCCTGGATCTAGACATTTTTTGATCGTCCTGGATTTTTCCTGGATTCAGATCAAGAATCCTGTCCAGATTACTAACCTAAATCCAGATCCAGTATTTTTTCTATACCGATCTCTAATGTCCAGGCCTACTCGAATTTTATTTAAAAATCTTTTTTTAAAGGTAATCAAAAAGAAAAAAAGGGAGAAGGTTTACTTAAAAAGAAGAATAAAAAGAACAAGCAACAACAAGATGAAAATAATAAAGGTATGAGTGTTCAAAAATCAAGAATTTACAAGGAAAGTGAACAGAAGAAAATTAATGAAGAGGTTTTTAATTTTTTTAAATTTATTTAAAATTTAGGAGAGAGTTTTTGGGATGTCACGGGTATCCAAAACCTAGACGTTTCGACCCGAAGCTTGATTTGAATAAAATTTTGAGTCCCCGACCCAAAGCTTGATATTTTCAATGAAAATGTTTTCCTCATAAATTCTTAAGTTATGATGGATTTTAGATTTTTTAATTAACCGAGATCCGAAACCCCAATTCAAAGAAGATTTTGAAACCCCGCCCGACACACTTTCTCTCGCCCGGCCCTCCATGGTGTATTTATTTAAGCTTAAAAAATCTCTAAAAATTTCTTTTCATTTTCTAGGGTCATAATTTAAAATTGAGAGAAATGATGATACCCAAAAAGCATAAAAGAATATATGAAAAGCTTAAACGTGGAACTAAAAGACGTGCAAGGGCTGAAGTTGTTTTGGAGGAGAAAAGGGCTAAATTGGCAAAAACATGAAAAAAAGTATTTTTTGTTTTGTTTATTTGTTATTTTAAAATTATATTTATAAAAAGACTTTAAATTATTTTTTAAAAATTCCAAACAATTAAATTTCTTATTTAAAAGTTAGGTATAATATGGACTGACTCCCCTTCATTTTTATTCTTTCTTCCCTTTTTTCCTGACCCTTTTTTTACTCCTTTTTTGGGGGAGAAAAGGGCTAAATTGGTCATAATTTAAAATTGAGAGAAATGATGTGACCTTTTTTCCCCTTTATTCTTCTTGAAGCGATCCTAATCCTATGAGCCTTCAATTCGAATGGTGATGAAGGTTTAGGTTCATTACCTTTTTGAAAGGACAACATTTGGAGAAACTTTGGTAATTTTGGAAACATTTTTTAAGAGAATACCACCATTGGAGACATTCTTTTGGGTACAAAAAAAGGAAGGGGGGATGTCAGCCAACGTAATATCAAAAAAGTTACATTTTAAAAATAATTCTTGAAACCTCTCTTTATTTCCTCATTCCTTTTATTTTTCATAAGGCTTAAATTCACTTCCTTTTGGCGGCTTCATTTCAACTTGAGCTTTTTTAACTTCACTCCAATTTGTTGACAAAACAGTTCCTTTAGATTCGGTAAATGATTTAATCATTGCCTTTTTTGTATCGTCACTAGCATCTTGGTATATTTTCTAAAAAAATTTCTAATTTTTTTAGATTGAGTCTAATCTTCTACTCATTATAGTTAAGAGAACCAGGGATGTCGCGTGTTACAAGAAACCTGAACTTCGACCCGAAACCCAATCCTGAAAATTTTTTTGGAAATACGACCCGAACCCGTGACACCTCCAAGGAGAACTCCCTCAAACTTCTATTTCAAAAAAAAACCTGAAATAATTTGTCAACACTATCCTCAGCCTCATCATTTTCATCAACTTCTTTTGCTAACTTATCCCATTTAGCATATTTTGCTGATAAATCTGATGGTCCTGATGTAGGTAGTGAAGGTTTAGAGTTGTCTTGTTGTTCTTTATTATCGTTATTCATGTTAAATTTATGCTTCTCTAAAAAATACAATAATTTCAACTCGAAAATGAAAATAATTGAAATTCCAGCAGAAGGGGTCGAACCTTCAAACCCTTTGCATGTTGAAAACTAAAAATTTTCCGACTTAACCAAGAAACCAAATTTGGGGTATTTGATGATTAGAGTGCAGAGCTTTTTTAACTTCACCCCAATAGTAGGCCACGACAGGTTATTAATTGAACTTCTGATTTTCAGTTATCACCGGTTTTCGACCCACAGTTTTTGGTTCTAGTTCGGTTAACCGTCTGTGCCCGGCCCTAATACTAATTTTAAAAAATTTTAGAGAAATTTATAGTGTATTAAAAACACTTGAAGAAATATATTATTTAATATTCCCATAATTTTTATACTCATTTAACAAATACACAATTTAATTCTCAGAAATACATAAATATAACTTATAATTTAAAGATTCGCAATGTGTTCCTTCAACTCTTCTTTGGTCAAGCGTTTAAATCCCTCAGTTTTTGAGCATATAACCAATTCGACATTCTCTTCAGTCATTCCAATACTGAAAGAAAAAAAAATTTTGAGAAATTTTTTCAGACTTTTCGAAAATTTCAGAAAATTTAAAAAAAAAATAAAAAATAATTTACTCATAAGATTCACGCAAAGTCAAAAGAGCAGTATGAATGGCATCCATTTTCTCATTATTAGAGTCATAACGTTTCTCCAAAAAAGTCTTTGCATTATTATCATTTTTACCAATTGCAGTAGCTTGCCAAGCAAAATATGAACCCTTTGAAAAAAATTTTTTTTCAACGAAAAAATTTAAAAAATAAACCGAGGGGTCAATTTGGAATAACATTGGTCCCTTTGATTCATCCCATCCACCAATAAGCAAAGACACCCCAAATGGCCGAACACCGCTTTAAAAAGAAAAAATTTTTTTTGAAATTAAAAATTAAAGAAATACCCAGATTGTGTATATTCTTGCATTATTGCAGCTATCTTTGCTGCAAGTTGAGTTATTGGCATAGGTTCACCATGTTGTAATTTGTATTCAGCAGCGATTTTGCGTGCTTTGCGAACAAGAATTCTGAAAAAATAAAAAGTAAATTAAGGTAAAAACAGAAGACATTGTCTTGGGGTAGATTAGAGATAGGCCCCACCGCGATTTAAAAGCGGAAGACTGAAAAGACTAGCCGAAACCGGAAGGTTAAAAAAAGCTGAAGGGTTTTGCGGAAGGCCACCCCCGGTGATGCCACCCCCGGTGATTTAATAAAAAATAACCGAGAATCAGGCCCCATTCCACTATGAGCACATCCAACATGAGAAGTAATACTTTCAATTTTACTTTCAGGATTTAGAAGAAGAGAATTCTTGTTTTCGGTAGCCAAAACAACGCAATCCTTTGCTGAAAAGATAATTTGTGTTATAAAATAGAGTTCGATCATTATTTCTCGGGAAGGGAATTCACGGAGACGGAGAGAGATGTACCCCAGAGCCCCCATTACCCCGCTCCGCAATTCGGATTCCTCGGCCTCCATGCTCCCCAAACCCCTGTTCCTCGTAAGAAGAGGAGCATGGAATGTTTGGGGAAAATGGACGACCTCCCCCCCCCCCCGTCCCGAGAGGTCGACCCCGGTTTACACAGTTCCTAGGGGAAGGGAATTCACGGAGACGGAGGGAGATCTGCCCCAGAGCTCCCATTTTAGTTAATTCAAAAAACCTTTAAGCCCAACAGATGGAGAACCACTTTTAACAGCATTCATAGCATATTCAATTTGCATAAGCTTCCCAGAAGGGCTATAGAAAATGAAAATTAAAAAAAGTTAAACACTTAAAATAACCTGAACGTAGTAAGAGAGAAACTGTACTTTTCTGAACCTTTTTCACCCATTTTTAAAATAAATAATCACTAAAAATTTGATTTGATAATCACTAAAAATGAAAAAATTATAGAAAAGCACGGTTAAATCGGTTTGAAAAAAGTGGGTACAGCCCAAGTAGGCGCGCGGCCATGTAGGCGCAAAGCCATAACTACCTGAAAAATTTCTGGACCTTAACAATTTTGGTACCAATCTCTTTAGCTCGATGAGAGGAATCGTTTAATGCTAAATTTTGAAAGATTCGAAAATCTTGAAGCAAGTTCTGGCCTTGCGCCTACCTGGCCGCTCGCCTACTTTGGGTTCCCGAAAAAAGTTTATACAATTCTCATCAAACATTATTCCTTTTATACTAAGCAGATACCCAACAGTCTCCACTGTATTTTTGCCAAACCCACATTCTGCCAATAGGGGTAAATTCGACGTTTTGCCACACAATCTTATTGACAAAACTGCAATTTTTACCCTTATTGGCAAAATGTCGAATTGGCAAATTATGTGACTAAAATAAATTAAGAGACACTACAGCGTTAGAGAAATAAAGAAAGATATTTCTCTAAAAAGTGTTAAATAGTGGAGGAAATGTCAAAATCTCAAAATTTAAAAATGTCCATTAGTGTAAAAAATTGCAAAAAGCATTATTATTGTTTTTTGCTTATTTTTAACTGATTTTTTGGGCTTTTTTTTATTTTTTCAGTTGATCTTTCAAAGTTTATTATTTACCAATGTCACTTAGACGTTCATCAGCAAGAATTATTAAAAAATATGGCTACAACAAAAATTCTAATTGTACTACATCAAACGAAATTGAAGATTTAAACAAAACAAAAGACGACAGAATTTCTCAAAACATTTTACTTATCAAATCGATGCGTCAAAATGCTGATGCCCCAGTTGATTTAATGGGATGCCATACTTGTGCTGATAAAAATGCTGACCCAAAAACTTTTCGTTTTCAAACACTTGTGGCTTTAATGTTATCGAGCCAAACAAAAGATCAGGTTACTAGTGCTGCTATGGAAGTAGGTAAATAATTATTTAATAAGGAAATGGTCTAGCAATTGGTCAAAGTCTGGGGAGATTTTTCTTCTGTTAACATAAATGTTTCCTTGTCACCGCTGGGCCAAATAGACAAAAAGGCGATAGTACCTCGGATCGGGTATTTGGAAGTTTTTTCGGTCGAAAATTTGTCCGTTTCGAATTCCGGGTATCGGATTTCTGTCTGGGGTTCGTATTTCGAGTATCGGACTTCGAGTAACAACTATTCTACTAACTATAAATATTTTTAGAGACTTAAAACTGCTGGCTGTTCAATTTCTTCACTTCTTGAATTTCCCAAAGAACAATTGGAAGAGTTATTGAAGCCTGTTGGATTTTACAAGGTTCTTTTTTTTCAATTTTCTCAATAAAAAATTTTTTTAGAGGAAAACAGAATATTTAAAGCGTGTTTGTACTATTCTTCGTGAGAAATATGATGATGACATTCCAAATACTTTTGAAGGTTTATGCGAACTTCCAGGTCTGATTTTTTAGAAATTTTTGAAAATTTTGAAAAATTTTCAATTTTTAGGTGTAGGCCCGAAAATGGCAAATTTAACAATTCAAATAGCTTTTGGACGTTTTGGAGAAGGAATTGGTGTGGATACTCATGTACATAGAATATCTAATCGTTTAAATTGGGTTAAAACAAAAACGCCTGAACAAACAGAATTTGAATTGAGAGAAGTTTTGCCAAAGTATTTTTTAATTTATTTAATTTTTTCAATATAAATAAGATTTCATTTCCTCCAAAACAATGCTGGAGAGGGCCTCTGGAAACTAGCCCAGGATCCAGCTTCGGCGGAACTAGGATTTTGTGCCGGAACCGAAGCCAAAAAACATCCAATACCCAGCACTGTCCTATTTAAAAATAAAAACTATTTTCTACAAGAGGGTAAGGGTGTGTTTGAACCTTCGACCCTTTTTACGTTTAAAAAAGTCTGAAAAAAATTTTTTTAATTTTCCCATTAAAGAAATGAATGGAGTACAATAAATCAGTTACTTGTTGGTTTTGGACAGACTATTTGCCTTCCTGTTGGTCCAAAATGTTTGGAATGCTTACTTTATAAATATGGACAGTGTAAATGGAAGAATGTTAATTCAAAGAAAAAATAATTACAATTTATTAACAAGTTTTTTTTAATTTTTTTGATCTCTTATAAATAGGACCTCTAAATATAAAATGCACCCCTCCCCTTCCCAATACTAAAATGAGTCGAATGACTCCAAAATTATCCGCGGCAACATCTTTGTAGGAATATAGGGCTCGAAATGGTCAAAAACCATAGGGAAACATTTTTTAAATTTCGGTTGGAGTTGGGTGGGGAGCGGTGACTTTTTTTAGCCCTGAAGGGTGTATAACGAGGTCCCTTTTTAGATTTTTTTAAATTAAAAAATTTTTATATTGACATTTCTTTTGTTACAAAAACAATTAGACAAAATAAAATAATATTTATCATTAATTTGAATTCAAACGTTGTTGGTATTTTATCCAGAAGAACTTCCGTGATACAAGTTATTTCTGTTTTTAAAAAAAGAGAAAGGTTTATTTTTAATTATTTTTTTGTAAATATTTTTACGGTTTTTGATTTTATGGATTGAAAATTCCAAAGTTTTCAGGTTTTTTTTAATTGTTCTCAAAAAAGGGGTTAAAATCCTTGTTTTCCTTTTATTTTTCATGATTTTTTAAATAATTTTTAAACAAAAAAATATACCAGAAGGGCAATGGAATCTTCCTCGTTTCAATTCAAATCTACTCCTTGTTTCAATTTCACCACATTCCTCATTTTTATTTTTATCACAAGAATTGCTTCTAATTATTTTTGGAATTTTATTTTCATCTAAACAGGCAACAGAAAAAGTCCTCTTTTCACTATCTTCTATTAATTTTTGTGTTGCTTCACAAGTAAAATTATTTAAAAATCCTTCATTTTTGGTTAAAAAATTATTCTGAAATTTTAGAAGATTTTTTCTAGGCTCTAATATCCCCTCTGAAAATTTTAAAAATTCTTCAAAATTTTTAAAATTATTTTTGTTGTCTTCCTCATCATTTTCTCTTTCAATTTGATCATTTAACCAATTTAAATATTCCTCTTCTTTATTTTTTAATTGATATTTTATAATTGGTAGAAAATGCCCTTTTTGAATTTTTAAGACATCAATAAAGGGCAAATAAAATTCTTGGGGTAATAATTCGAATTGTAACGATTTAATTGATGGAAGAAAATTTATTATTAAATTGAAAATAAAGGTTGATTTGGAAAAGAATTTTGGCATTTTTAAAGAAATTTTCTGGATAAAAATATATTTTATTTATGAACGGTTGCCATAGCAACCCAAAGTTCTATATCCCCTCTTTATCCCAGAGCAAAAAAGAGCGACCTCCAAAAGTCACAAAGTGACCAAACACGGAGGACTTCACCTGGCGCGCTGTATTTCGTTTCACTCATCCGAAACACCATTTTTTGGTGGGAGAGATTTAACTTTGGTTTTTTGCCTAATTGTTTAAGCTCTTTTTGAACCGTGCAGCACCAGTCATAGACCAGCGGCGCGGGAGCCTTTTACTCGGACCGAGGGGGCCCATTCTGAGATTGGTTGTCTCTCGGAAAGAGAGCGCGCCAGCAAAAAGCAAAAATGTGAGAATATATAGAGGGTGAAATTATTCTTTAAATTTAGTGTCGAGAAGTAGAGTAGAAAAATTAACATGAATTTTGTAAAGCTATTTCTTTCTCCATACTTCTCTGGCTTTAAAATTTCCTTTGTTATTCTCTCAAAAATCTGTTGTATTTTTAACCTCTCCTTCTCTCAAAAATCTGTTGTATTTTTAACCTCTCCTTCTCTTTGTTCAAGATTCTTTACCTTAAAAATGAAAATTGGAAGTTTACATAACATCTAAAAGAAAAATGTCATTAGGGGGGAATATTAACAAAATGCCAAAACGACAAATTGTCACTATGGGGAAATAATTAAATTTTGTCGTCTTTTTCAAATGGGAAAATTAGGAATATTTTACATAACACCTATAGACAAAATATCACAAAGGGGAAATATTGACAAAATGCCAGTATGACATATTGCCACTATGGGAAAAAATTAATTTTTTGCCGCATCTTTAAATTTTCTAAAAATAATTTTTATTTTTTAAGATTCCAATGTCTGAAATTGAAGACGATATTTTTGGTTTAAAAAAATTGGATTCACTTCCTTTGCCAAACTCTCATTTTAATAAACAACAAAATATCAACAGAAATACAACAAAAATTAAAGAAAATGGAAATTTATTTGATGAACATTTCTTCCCAGAATTGATTAAAAATTCAAAAGAAGAAAATAAACAACAAATTGGACAAGAAGGAGAAGAAGATTTCTTTACTGAACATTTTGAAAGGTTTTACTTCAGGGTTCGGATTCGTACTTATTTTGGAAGTACAGTACTTACAAATCGACCTTCGTACTTCCAAAATTAAAAATGTACTTATTTGTAAGTACGTACTTACAAATAGACTTTTTGTTTAAAAAATTGAATTTAACCTTTAAAATTCCAAAATTTTCGCCTGCGGCGCAAAAAATGGAAGAAATATGGCTTAAGGACCTCCAAAATTTTCAAAATTTTCGCCTGCGGCGCAAAAAAATGGAAGAAATCTGGCTTAAGGACCTCCAAAATTCTCAAAATTATTGCATGCGGCGCAAAAAATGGAAGAATTTTTGCGCCTTCGGCACCACAAGTTTTTGAAAAAATTTTTTGTAGCGTACTTATAGTTTGAAAATTCTTCCCCCTATGTACTTCCAAATTGGACTTTTTGTACTTACACTTAACATTTTCTCGATCCGAACCCTGTTTTACTTGCTTTTTTTATTTTAAAATTAGTTAAATGTTGGGGGAGATGGGGTGGTTAATGATGGAAATCCCACCGATTGTTGAATATTTCCTTGTTCTCGGCCCGATTTTGATTAAACCTGGTATTCGATTTATAGTCTATTTTGCTTTCATTCCCTTCAGGGTATAATGCCGTAATGCCCAAGTGCCGTAAAGCCGAACCACTAAAGCGTCAGTTTTACAGTTTGGCATTTCAACGGCTTTTGAGGCTTTGGCTTTTTGTTATTTTATCATTACGGGCCTACGATTCCCTATGTATTTATTGTTACTTTTCGTGGTTCATTTTTCTGAAAACTTTTATTCTAATTTTTCCATTCAGACAAACATCTGGTTATGAAGAACTTTCTACTAAAGATGTTTTTGAATTAATTAATCAACAAACTACTGGAATTAGAGAATTATGGAGTTATGTGGACCCTGTTTGGAAATTTAGTGATGAAGAATTGGTTGAATTTATGGCACAAAGGATAGTTTATGAAACAGGTTTTTTTGTAAATTTTTTAAGTAGAGAGTGATATTTTTTTAAAGATGAAGTGATTGCTTTTGATAAACCCTTTCAAGTTGCTTATTCTGGTGCTCCAAAAGATCAGGCTCAATTGGACAGAATTTTACAGGTTTTTTAAATTTTTTGAAGAATGTGGCACTACTGAAGAAAAGGGTGCTTTTTCTGCGGACTTTTTTTGCGGACTTTTCCTTTCTTTTAAATGTTTTACTTGTAGCAACTAACTGTCAAAGGTCCTCCCCCCTATTATTTTTCTTACCTAAGATTGTACATAAAGGTCAGATTTTCTTCTTCCTCTCCTTCCTCTATTTGCTCTGTGGCATATTCAAACAAGTGACATTGATAAAGAGAAGATTAATTTTATACATAGTCATACACTTATTTTTTGCCTTCGAAAACAATTTAAACCAAAAAAGAATTAAATATAATTGATTTGGTGTATAACATTATGAATTTCTGTGTAAAAACATTACATTCTTACTTATATTTAAAAATATTGAACAACTGAAAAAATAAAATGAACTCAATATTGAACAACTCAATTAATCTTCTCTTTATCAACAATGTCTCTTGTTTGAATATGCCAAGCTTAAATAGAGGAAAGAGAGGAAGGAGGAAATCTGACCATTTTGTACAATCTTAGGTAATAAAAATAATGGGGAGGGGACAAGGTTTGAAATTACCCGCATTTCTGTCCACAATCACATATTCTTTTTCTATGAAGCATTCCGAGATCAGTGATCCATTGTTGAAATTCATCATCGGGTAATTGAAAATATAGTTAAAGTCAATTTTAACGTTTATAATGTTCAAATTAATGGTGAACACATATTTTTCAAATTGGCATAAAAATTAATCCTTTGACAGTTTAGTTGCTACAAGCAAAACTCGCTACAAGCAAAAGAACCAAAACATTAAAAAAGAAAGAAAGGAAAAGTCCGCAAAATAAGTCCGCAGAAAAAGCACCCTTTTCTTCAGTAGTACCAAGAATGTTTCTGTCAGACTTGTTGTTGGCTCCGACAAGTCTGTCGTGGGGTTTTGTGTGTTGGTCGAACCCTACCATGGAGCTTGACCCATAGATCTTAAGAGAAAGACCCTTTTTTAAAAGTTTATTTAATAAATGGCCAGAAAAATGCTGGGAAGTGAGCCATACTGAAATTTGACTAGGAGGTGATTGAACTGATCGACCTGGGTTCTCTTGCCTTTCTATGCCCATAAAAACCAATACAGGGCAAATACTTCAACTTTTATTTTTTCTAGAAACTTAGGAAGAGAGTAGCTCCAAATGCTAACAGACTTTATTTGGTTAATTCATTAGACAAGCCATGTAGTGGAATTATTATTTTTGCAAAGTTTATTTAAATTTAATTTTAATATAATTTTTGTAATTTTTAAAGAAATTCTAAAAAGCAACAAGAACTTAGAACTCTACTTGATCAACAACATTTTTATTTTCGTTTTCGTTGTTTATGCAAAAATTTTCCTGCTCAAGTGCCTGATAAAACGCGTGTCAGTATTCCTTTGATTAAGGTTTTTTTAACTATTTTAAATTTAGAAGTAAATTCTGGGATGTGGTGACATTTCATCCCAAAATCTTTTGGGGTCGGTTCTAAAATTTTAAACTGTGTTGGGGACGGGGCTGACGGATTCTGAGAAATTGCCAGATATCTGGATTTGATATCCGAAATGAAAATTAATTTATATCCGGTCTGTTTTCGGGTTCGAAATCCGGATCAGACGGTTTCGAAAATTTTGATTTGCGACTTTCGAGGTTTTTTTGTTTCGATCAGCTCTGATTCGGATCCACTACCCTTATTAGAGTTTACTCAGGACATGCATAATTTTAGTTGACATTTCTTTTCTAATTATTTTTTCAAGTTTTTTAGGTTATTAAAAATGGCAACGTAAAATTTTGTCCATTATTGGGAAGAGCTTCCAGTGATGACCATATTTTTCATTTAAATACGGATTGTAAATTGATTGATTTTAATAAAAGTGCTCAAGTTTCGTTAATTGATGCGTTTACTCGAACAGGTTTTTTTTAATTTTTTTTGAAATTTTTAAAAAATTTTTTAAGGTTTAATCAATGTGGTAAGAAGTCATTTATATTATGGCCTAGATTGTCCTTTAATTGGTGATCAAAAATATACCCGTCCAAATAATCCAAAAAATCAGGCTTTAAATCCAATAAAAACAGCATTAAACAAATCAGCAATGGAAGCATTAAATTTAAGAAAAAATGATTTGAGGAAATTGCCAATGTTTATGCATTTGGGGGAAGTTCATTTGCCCGAAATAATTGGAGGAATGGATGGAAAAAATGAAGAAAATTGTTTTGAAGAAGGAGGAAGAGGAGGAAATATTGGTTTGAATAAAAATATTAATTTTAATGTTATTAGAGCAGAAATGCCAAAATTTTTTGTTTATGCATTAAAAAAGCTTTCTCTTTTTAAATAAAGAGAGGGGGGGGGGTTTTTTTTGTTTTTGTGGGAGCCAGACATATCGGGATATTTCAAAGTGCGAACAGCTACACTATACTGGTTTTGGGAATTAATGCCACTGGGTTTTGGATAGTCCTAGTGAGAAAAGAGATTTTAATTTATATTTTTTCAGCTAACAATAAACTTGATAATGTTTTTTCCATCCCGATGTGTCTCTTCCTACCGTTTTTGTTTTGTTTTTAAAATTTTAATAAATAATTTTGAAAATTTTTAATTTTTCCTTTTGTTGGATATTTCCATAAATACTTTTTAAAAAATTTTAAAAAATTTTTTAGTAATATTTTTAATACAAAAAAATGGATGAATGTTCTACAACAACAACAACATCTTTTTCTTTACAAAACAACAAACCAAAAACTTCAATTTATCGTTTTGATTTAAATTTAAATGGAAGAAGACTTGATGATTCTCTTACAAATTTGTTAATTTTCCGAGCTGTCCCAATGCGTACTCTTCTCTTTTTTAAAAATTATTTGGAACAAATTGAATACAAAGCAAGGAAAAGATGGATTGGAAAAATTTATGAAAGAGTTGGTGATGATAAGGCTGTTGAAAGTAAAGAGGTTTTTTTAAAATTTTTTTAAGATTAAATTTTTTTTTAATTTTCGGGTGTAATATTGCTACTGTCAAGACGAACGTTAAGATGTCGTAAGGATATTGGCGATTGTCATATTGATAAATATTGGTATTTTTTAAATAATTTTTGGATGTTGTCTGGCGCAGAGTTTGTGTTTGAAACAGAGTATTCGATTCGTCTCGTTGACAAAACGATTGAGGCTCGAATGACTGGCTCGAAATAATCAGAGTGGTCAAAACCCATAGATTGAACCAAGTTGATTTTTGGAGTCGAAATAAATCGAGGAATGTTACTGTTCTGCTGGGCTTAACGAGACGATTTGAGTGTTTCTTCGATTAGAAACTCTGCGTCTGTTTATGAACAAGTTTTTGAAATATTTTTTAAAGGGACAATTTGATTTTACAATTTCTTCATAAAGTTCTTGAATTGGAAAGCGAAATGTGGAGGCTAAGTAAGTCGAAGGAGTAGTGTATTGAGTGTTGGGCAGTTTTTTAGCTCCGGGCTCGGACCTTTTTCAAAATTCTTGGCTGCTCCCAGGGTTTTTTCTTTTGGCTCTGAAGCTATCTTCCGGACCTGTTTCGAACTTTAGAGGGTTTTTTTTCTTTTTTTTCGTTTTCCGATTTTCTAAGATCATTTCGTTTTCGAAGCAGTCCTGTGTTCCGGATCCATCCCCAACACTTGTGATGATAAGGGGAGAATACTTGTGTAAATAATTTTTTCTTCTTTAGGTACTTTGGGTGGTGCTGTCTCTGCAATGGGATTTTTCAGCGAAAAATTTGTATATATTTTTATTAAAAAAAATTTTTTTTAATTTTATTTTATTTGTAAGGTCAAGGCAGCCTTGCGTGTCTCTTTACGTCAATTAAAAATTGCTCAAATTTTGGGTGATCCACTTTCTATTGCCCGTTGTTATCTTTACATTTCACTTGGATTGGCACAAGATGGGCATTTTAAAAAGGCTATAACAACTGTTAGGTTGGTTGGAAAATTTCAAAAAAAAATTTTAATCAAAATTACTTAGGGGTATTTGGAAGGAAAATATTATTTCTCTTCATTCTGAATTTCTCAAAAATTGTACTTTGGGAGTTTGGATGACCATAAAATGGATAAAAACGAGAGAAAAAAACATTTTAAGTTAAGTTAAACTTTTTGTAATTTTTACAAATACTTGAAATAAAGGAATTTTTTATATTGATAGTTTTCCTGGGGTGTATTAACTTAGGAGTCGATTTTTTCGGGGACAGATTATTTTTTGAGAAGGGGATATGTTTTTCGGAGATAAAAGAGCGTTGGTTGGAGGGTAGAAGTAATTTAAGTTCTTCATTCCAAAATTCCTTTTAACCTTTGGAGCCTATTTTTTGGAGGAGGGTTGGGGTATTAATTTATGTATTGAATAAATAATAATTTATAGTTTATGTACAAGTAGGTAGCTAAAAAACTTAAGATTAAATTGTGTGATTTTTTATAAATGTGGGTGAGGTGATTAGATAATAGTATGTAGCACATCTTCGTCAATAAAACGATAAACTAGGCGTTGTCCTTCAACTTTTTCCAAAATTCCTCTTAAAAAAGTAAATATTTTGATTTTTTGTGTTTTTATTCTGATTTTTCTAAGTCTGATTTCTGACTTTTTTCTGATTTTTTTACTTACCTTTGGTAGTAATATCTGAGTGCTCTCCCCATTGTTTCATAATTCATTCCTGGTTTGTTCTTGTGGGCTCCCCATAATTTTGAAACCTTTTAAGAAATTCTTTTTGAATTAAAAAATGCTAGAAAGTTTACAGTTTTGGAATCAACAAGTTTAAAAACACCTAAAAATTATTTTAAAAAAGTTGGGAATTTTTAAAGAAAAATTTTACGTTTTTGTTGGTCTAACCATTTGATGTATTTTGGTGTGTATTGTTTATCAGACAGAAGATGTAGTAAACTAGAAGAGATTTTAAGAAAGTTTTTAAGTTGTGAGGGATAAATGTAGCTTTGAATTTCTATTTTATACCCTTGGATCGAGAGATTTTGTAGGGGTGAGAGGGATGTAAAGAAAATAGTTGGGATACTATATGAGATTTTTTTAGGGAGGGAGGGGGTGTTGGGATTTTAGGATTATTATAAGATTTTTGAACGTATGAGAAGAAAGGTGATTGAGAGAGGGGAGGGAGGGGAGAGACATGTATTTTTTAATCTCTATTTTATACCATTTTATATGTATAACTTAACTTACAACTCCCAAAGATATGTGACTTGTCCTGAAAATGATATATATTTTTATTGTTATTGATATTCCAAAGTGTGGGGGATTAGAAATCTGGGTTCGATTTAAAAAAAGAGCAAAATATTTTCAAATTTTCAAAGAATATTTTACTGCCCAACTCTTTAATCTTGCCAATATATGTATAATCTCAACTCTAACCTTCTCTGCTTCTTCTTCTAATTTTTGATTGTTGTTGATATATATTCTCATTAATATCTAAATTTAATTTTTGTTGTTCTTCTTGTCCATTATTAATTAATATTGTTGGTTCACTTAATCGTCTTAAATGTTGCTGTTGGTGTTTTTGAGGATATTGTTGTTGTTGGTGTTGAATTTGTGATGATGAAAAATTGTTAAAATTTAAATAGGAAGGAGAGGAAGTTGTTGTTGTTGAATGTTGTTGTTTTTCTTCATTATTGTCATTACATTTTGAAATATTTTCATTCAAAAGTTTAGAAACTAGAGGATATTTATTTTGTTGAGGGGAATTATTATCAAGATTTGTATTGGCATCTTTTAAAAAAAATTTTTAGAAATATTTTTTTTTATTTTATAAATAAAATGGGCGTTTAAAAACATGTTTTTTTCTTCCTATTTTTAAAAACCAGTTTAAAAAAATACAAAAATCATTTCTCCGTTTTTCCAATAAAATAAACAAATAAATAATATATCCTACCAATTATTATATATTATTTTCACTTTTTTTTATTTTGTTTGCCATCAAATATTTTTTAACACGTTTATAATATTTTATTATAATTTTTTAACAGATGAGTGATTTTTTAAAAATATAGGATGGAAAAAAGTTTAATTATAGAAAAGTTTTCGGTAATACTGAAGAATACAGACCCGATTTTTTCCTCCCCAATTTTCCCCCTATATTTTTACAAAATGGTCAGACTTTCTTTCTTCCATCCAAATTGCCTTTCTAATTTTTGCCTACAATCAAACAAAAAGGATTATTTAATTTTATACAAGTGCAAGTACCTGCCAAAACTAAGTAAAAGAAGGATTATTTTTTGGTTTAGTGAGGAAAAACGGGAAAAAATATCAAAAATAATCCTTTTCGTTTGATTTAGGCAAAAATTAGAAGGATGGAAGAAAGGAAAAAGGCTGACCATTTTGTAAAAATATAGGGGGAAAATTGGGGAGGAAAAAATCGGGTCTGTATTCTTCAGTATTACCAAGTTTTCTTTTAAGGTGGAAGATTTCTAGGGAATTTTCTAGTTAATTTTATAAGGATGATTTTTTAAAAAAATCAAAAAAAATTAGGAAGGGAGGGAGGGTGGATTTCTAGAGGGTTTTTTAGTTAATTTTAAAAAATTTTTAAAATTTTTTAACCATTTTCTTCTCTAGTTTTTATTTTTTGTAAGTGGTCAGTTGAAGATAAAGCATTAATAAGTAACTGTTTTTGATGATTCTGTTGATTTAACAAAATTAAATTGTTTAATAAACGTTGAAATAGCACAAAATTTGTTCCAAAATTATTAGGTGAAAAGGGAGATGATAAATTATTGTTGTATATTATTGGTTGTTGTTGTTGGTGATTCTGTAAAATTGAAAGAAATTTGTTTTAGTTCGCGTTGTTTTTTTAGTTCCCCGTTTTAAGTTCGAGTTATAATTAATTTTGGAGGTATTCTTCAAAAAATTCACTCATTTTCAAAAATTTTTGGGTTTTTAAAATTGAGAAATATCAAAATTTTTTGTATTTTAAACCCAAGCATGTCCAACCCTATTTTGAACAGTTTGTTGTTGTTGTTCTTGCAAAAATTGTAAATTTTGTGGGAAAAGTGTTGCTGGTGCAGACATTCTTCTATTAGAAGTTAATAATAATTTTGAATTTAATTCTTCATCCTCTTCATTTTTCTTTTCATTATTAAAATATTTATTAAAAATTCCTTCAATTTTAATTGGTATAGGTTTGTAAATTAATTGGTGATGTTGTTCCATTTAAAAAATTTTTTTAACAATTTTGCTTATTTTTTTTAATACTGCTGCTTGTAGAATTTGTGTGTTTTTTTCGTTGTAATTTACCAAAAAAATTTTTCTTTGTATAAAATCGTGACAACTATACCTTTTTGTGCAACAACACCCAAAATTCAAAAGAAATTCACTTTTCTGTTTGTGTACTTCTCCACGTTTCTTAAACAAATCGCCGCTAGAGCGATTTGTTTAAAAAACTCCGCCTACTTAGAATGACCAGTGTCCTTTTCTTTTCCTCAACAAATAAGATTTTTTTAGTCCGTGTTCTTCCTCTTTTATTTTTAATCATATCCCCCACTATCCTCGTTCTTTTCCTCATCCTCTTTTTCCTCCCGTCACAAAATCCTTTTCCCATTTTCTCGTTGAAAATTTTAAAGTTTAACCTCAAGATCATGACCAGTCAGTAAAAATCTTGGGAAGTGAGGGAAAAAAAGGAGGGAGGGAAATAGACTCAAAAATATCCCCGTCTGTAAATAAGTGATGACCTAATAATAGTTAAGTAATTGAACAAAATAAATATTTTTGTAGGGGAAAAGCAAACAATAAAAATGAATATACTAATTTTGTATTTAGGTAAGCATTTAATAATAAACTTGAAAAAAAGAGGAGGAAATTTTGAAAATTTTTTCTATTGGTTTGTGTGTCAAAAAAATTTTTCCGTTGCTTGGCAGTGTGTAGTATAAGGTTGATTGGGAAAGGATTTTAAAGAGTTTTTTTTAAAAATGGGTGCGAGTTGAGATTAAATACAGCACCAAGACGAGAGAGATTTTTCGGATTTTTCTAGATATTCGAGACGCTTTATTTGAGAACGAATTGAGAAGTTTAAAAACGAATTTTGCCATTTTTAATACTAGACATTTCTAAGAAAAACAAAAAAAAATTACCTGTGAATTTTTAAAAAGAGGGGAAGGGGGGGGTTTATAAATTTTAAAAATTATTTAGTATGTGTTAAAATTTCTTTCTTAAATAATTTAATTTGTTTATCACTCGGTTTGATCATTTAAAAAATTAAAAACAAAACAATGTAATAAATTTTTACGTGTTCCAATTACAATATTAAAAGCTTCTTCCTCGTTATTATTCTTTAAGGGTAAAATTAACGGATGTCCAAATGTTTCAGCTTTGAGATCAATTATTAAATGAGCTGCTAAAGGTTGTTGTTGATTGTCGTTGTTAGAAATCAATGTTTCTGATTTTAGGAGAAAAAGAGAACCTGGAAATTGAAAAGAAATTCTGATTTGTTTTTCTGGTTATTCTGATTTTTAAAAAATTCTGATTTCTATTGTTTCCTAGTATTTCTGATTGTTCTGTTTTTTTTTTTCAATTCGGATTTTTTAATTATTCTGATAATTCTGATTTTTAAAACTTCAGGTTTATTAAATTCTGCTTTTCTGATTTTTAATTCCTCTTATTTCTGATTTTATTAAAAAATCATACTAACCCGTAGAATTAAGTACAAACACATCTTCATTCGAGATTAAAGGTCTTTTAACAATACATGTTGTGTTTGGTAAAATAATTTGTTTAATAAATACAAAATTGTTGTTAAGCTCGTTATATTTAATTAAAAGTAGGTGTGATTTACCGGCAGAAATTAAAAAATAATTTGGAGAATTTAGAGGTGTTGGAGAATCAAAAAATGTTGGGGTATTTGTTATAGTAGAGGTGTTGTTGTTTAAATTAATTTGACAAGCCTGAAAAAAAGGATTTTTAGAAGGATTTTCTATGACTTTTAAAAATACCTCAAATGTTCTAATAGAAGCCCTGGGCTTCTATTTTTCAATGGCTACCATTGGAAAAAAGATGGGAGCCTATCTATTGAAGATGGGCTTCTATTAGAACATTTACGACAATTCCTAATTTCCTTACCACGTCTCCATCAGATATTCTAACACAATATAATCCACCTTTAACCGTCAAAGCTATACAAAAACAACGATTATCATTCACCGAAAAACTTATAGGTTGAGCAAAGATGGGTGAATCAAGTTTGGTTTGCCAATAAAGCTGTCCACTAATCTATGGTTAATTTGTTTTAATTTTAGTAAAGAGTGATTAGAAGCGGGGAAATGGTGTAGGGTGTCAAGTTTGTTACGGGTTGAGTCGAAAAAGTCGGGTTGGGGTTTTCAAAATTTTCTTCAGATCGAAGTTCGTTTCGGAAAAACATTTAGGCTTCGGGTCGAAAAAAAGTTTGGGTCTCAAGGGTTTCGGGTAATCCGTGATATCCCTAGTATCTATTACCTTATCAATAGCAAAAAGAAATCCATTTAAAGTTGCAAAAATTATCAAATTGTTGTCAAGTAAAGGACTTGTTCTAAGCGATCCAAAAGAATGTTTGGTACAATTAAAAATTTGTTTCAAATCTCCATTTTGAATATTTAAATTGTAAATAATTCCAAAATAATCTCCCCAAATTAAATTAAATTTTTCATCAAAAATTGGCGTCATTCGAATTTCACTAGAACATGAAATTGTTAACAAGGGTTGCTGATTTGTAATTAAATTATTTTCAAAAACTAATAAATTGCCAGAAAATCCACCTAAATAAATGAAAAAATCAGAAAATTTTAACCAAATACCAATAGCCATATAATGTTGATTTACAATACATCCAGCTTCAAAACGTTCATTTTCAGCTGAATAATTAAACACTGTAGAGCCAGAAGTAAGGGAAATTCCTTTAAGTACTCCTAAATGAGAAGCGGCATAGATGACTCTTTAAAATAAAAAAATTTTAGTGGGAAGAGATTGAGAGGGGGATAACTGGAAAAGGTTTGAGGGAGGGAGGGGGATGGATATTTGGAAAATATTGAAGTGACATCTAGAAGGGACCAAAGGGATATCTTAGAATTTAATCCCTTTACCCAGGAAAAAATGTACAAGAAAAAAATACCCATCAGAATAAACAGGGGTTCCATCAACACATTTTCCTAAATCAACATTCCAACATTCTTTTGACTTTACAGTTGAATTAATTAATAAAAATTCCTTGCATTTTTCTTCTTTTCCAATATCCTCGACAATATTTATTTGATTTCCATTTTCTTGACAATTTTCAAAAATTTTTAAAAAATTTCCAAGTGTAGTGTTTTCATCCAAAATAAATTGCATTTTATCCCCAAAAGTTTCAAAAATATTTTTTGACGAAGAAAAATTTTCGAGATAAAAACAAATTTCAACAGCTTCTAAAGATCCAATACCATAATAGCGAAGTGAAGATGATAAATTGGATAAAGTTGGGTTTAGAGGAATGTTGTAATTTTTGTTTAAAAAATTTGAAAGGGAAGTGAATTTGTTGTAATAATTTAATTTGATGTAGTCGATTAATTTTGTTTCGTCAATTTTACCTGAAAAAATAGAGAGAAGGTTAGAGGTATTAGTTACAGATATTAGGGAGGTAAACTGGAGAAGATTGAGGGTATACCTGAAGGTGAGTGACATCTGGAAAAATAAATTTCGGGGATATCAGGGATTTTTATTAGTCCAGGGTTCGATCAGAATTCCTATTTTCGAAATTTTCTCTTTGATAATTTTCCCTTGCAATTTCCGATAATTTTTAAGGTATTATGCCCACTGAAAATTTAACAACTGAAAGAAGAGTGGGGGGATATTAAAAATAGATTTAAATGGATACAGAGGTATATCTGGTAATTTGCAAGGGATTAAGTAGAGATTTGGAGATATACTGGGAATAACAGGGGATTTGGAGAGAGGATATCGGTAACCATAATTAGAGTACTATGTATTAATAACCCTTTAAAATTTCCCTTTAAAATAATTACCAACCATTTAAAGTTAAAAAGTCAGAACGTATATTCATTTCGCCCATACAAAATATTCTTGTTGGCCACAAACGTTTGGGTATTTTTGTAAGAATATTTTTAGTATTAATTCCTGGAACTTCTCCATCCGATTTTAGGAATAGAAATTTACAAGCTCCAACAAATACAAGTTTAGAAAAATTTATTTGAGGAAAGGCATTTAAAATAAAAGTTTCTAATTCGAGTGAAGGTAGTTGACTTTGAGGTTTGTACTGTTTAAAAAAAGGGAAAAATTTTTTAAGGGTTTTAAAATTAAAAAACTCTCTATATTGTAAATTTGATAGCAACCCAACCCCCGTAACACCGACAATTATTGGTAAAAATCCCGACCCTATTGTAAATACCCGAGAATTTTGAAAATTTTTTTGTCTATTTAAAAAATATAGGTCTTTAAATAGAGGGCTTTTTAATAGAGAGGTTTTTTTGACCAAAAAATTTACTCACTCTGCTCTTGACACAAATTAATTTTTCTTCGTTAATTATTTTAACAAAAGCAATATCTCCAGTATTTGTAGGCTCTTCTTCTTTATTTCTCAAAAAATTGATAAAACAATTACGTCCATAAATTTGTAAAATTCCTTCATTCATTCGAAATTTTGTTTCGAGTAATGGATTTCCAATAGGGATTGACTCATTAGAAAAATGTCTGTAGAAAATAATTAAAAGGAAATTATATTATTAAATTCTGATGTTTAGGAAAAGTTTTCGGGAAATTTTTGGCAATTTTTCAAGAAAGAAAAAATTTTTTCGGGAAAAAGATTGGGGGAATATTTCTTCCAAAAATCGCTCAAAATTCCCAAAAAATTTTTTTTAGAAAATTAAATAAATTTACGATGTTTAGGAAAAACTTTTTTCGGGAAACATGAAAATTTTTTTTTAATTTTTAAAAAATTTACCGAATATTTTGACAATTAAATTCAAAACAGGAAGCCCAACAACTAACTTCAGTAATTCCATAAACATTGAAAATTCTTGTCCTTGTAGAATAATTAATATAACGTCGAATTAAATTTAAGGGAAAATTTTCTCCTCCAATTAATAAAAATTCTATTGAAGAATTTGGTCCAAAAATAAAATTTAAACAATTTGTTGATAAACATTGTAAAAGTGCTGGGGTAGTCTTTAAAATGGAGAAAATTAAAAATTTTTAAGTGCGAGGGAAGAGAGGAATGTTGGTGGTAAGACCCTTCGATCAAAAATTGATCAAAACCCTTTTATAAAAAAATTTTTTTATAAAAAATTAATGTATGGGCTTAAATATTAAGGAAAATGTTAGCTGGTGTCCCTTGGTGTAAGAAAAAAAAATTTTTTTTAAGAAAAGCTAATGTACGATTGTGGACTTGGTTTCGGTTGCTGGTGGTTTTCCATAAAAATAGAAAAAAAATTTTCCCAAATAAAATGGGGAGTGAAAGAATGAGTGAGTGATTGGCTTCCCTCCGATTAAAAAAAATTAAAAAAAAACCTGAACAAAATTAATTTTTTCAAATTTTTTCAAAATTGAATGAGAAATTCCACCAATAATTTCCTTTGGAGGTATAATTAATTGAGCACCCAATTTAATTGATAAAAATAATTCAACCATTGAAGGATCAAATGCAAGACAAGTTGAAAATAAAATTGAAGAATTTGAAGTTAAAGAAAAGCGTTGGCTTTAAAGAAAAATTTTTTTTGAAAATTAATTTTAAAAATACATAAAATCGTCAATATTGGGCATTATACAGCTGTAAGGAACATGGACAATTTTTGGTTCGCCTAAAATTTGTTTTAAAAAATAGATTTTGGTATATAATATTTTGACTTGAGTATTTTTGAAAAAGTTTTGTGTGTTTTTGATGATTTTTAATTTTTTGCAGAATTTAAAAAAAAATTTGGAGAGGTTTTAGGAAATTTTTTATGTTATTTGGGATAGGTAATAAAAATTTTATTTTTTTGTGATGAATTTGTATGATTTTGAATAATTGATTTTTTTGAGTGATTTGTGTTTTTTTTGATGATTTTTGATGTTTTTTTAACTTGGGGACACGCCCAAAACAACGCGCGGCCATAACAACGCAAAGCCATAACTTGCTTCAAAATTTCCAAATCTTAACAAATCTAGTATTAAACGATTCCTCTCATCGAGCTAAAGAGATTGGTACCAAGATTGATAAGGGCTAGAAATCTGCCGATTAGTTATGGCTTTGGGTTGTTATGGCCGCGCGTTGTTTTGGGCTGAACCCCTAAGCTTGTTTTTGGATTTTTTGAATTTTTTTGAAAAAATTTTTTCCTTGTTACTTTTTTTAATTCAAAAATAAAATTAAAACCTGTAGAACCAGAAGTTTGTATAGCATAGGCAATTCTTTCATCTCCAAAATAATTATTATTTTCTTCCAATCCCGTATCATAATAAAATAAATTTTCTTCAATTTGAATTGAATTTGGAAATGATTTTATTGAAATTTCTTCAAGTAAATTTGTAGAATGATAAATAATTTTGGAAATTTTAAAACGTTTAATTTTTGATAATGTAAATTCTGTTGATGTTTGTTCAAGTATAATAAATGAATTTTTCGATTTGATTATTCTGAAAAATGAGAGAAAAATTTTTAAAGGGGAAGACGATAGGACTATATCTCAGGGATGGGACAACGGTTCTCGAAACCGAAATCAACTCGAGCTGAAGTTCTACCCATTTTTTGACAACTTCTTTAATGTCTCCCTTTCACAAAAAATATGTAGTTGTTAAAAATTAAAAAACCTGACCCAATTAAAACACCAACAAGTAAAGCACTTTTTTCCATTACAACCCCAATAACCTGATTCTTGTCTTCTTTAAATAAATTTAAAATTTTTTTAGCAATTTCCATTAAATTTGTAAAAGTAAAGGTGTTGGAAATTAATTCATTTTTTGATGTTGAAGCAACTAAAGAAAGTTCTGTACATTGAAAAGTTGAGGGAATTTCATCGAGATTATAATATTTATTCTTTTTATTTACATTAGAAGTCATTTTGTCCTAAAAAATTTTTTCCTTGAAAATATTAAAAAATTTTTGAGTTTTTCAAAAAAATTCCAAAAAATTCTAAAAAAAATTTTTTTTGGGAAAATTTTCAATTTCTTTGGAAGCTCAACTTTTGGAAGTTTGAGGAAATCAAAGATTTTAAAGAAATTTTTAACTTATAAAAAATTTAAAAGAAATAAACAAGAGTTTTAAATTACTCAAAACAAAAATTTTTAAAAAAATTTCAAAAAAATTTTTCTTTTATTTGAAAAACTTCAAAGTGATGATTTAATGATTTAGATTCTTGTAATCTCCATTTTGTAATTAAAGCACCATTCTTTTTATTTTCTTCCCCAAAAAATATTCTTTTAACACGGCAATGTACGAGGGCCATTGCACACATTGTACAGGGTTCTTTAAATAATATAGCATCAAAACCTTGAAAGAAAAAAAAATTTTGGGAAATTTTGAAAAATTTTGAGATCCTATTACAGAGGGGGGAAAGGGTATATTTTCCCTCAGAAATATTTTCCCTCTATCCACCCTCTCTTCCTAAAAAAATATCTAGAGCTGGACCCAGCTCCCTCGGAGTGGTGAAAAGTACGGGGACTGGGCTTTCCGAGATGAGACTTTCTGGGTCGGGTTTCTAGACAAAAAGGCGGGTTTCAGGGACCATCCCAAGTCCAAGAAAATTTCTCATTCCCTCTCTCCTTTAAAAAGCCAAAAATTAAAAAAAACCTGTAGCCAAATATTGTCCCTCTTTTGATGTTTCTTCTTGTTCCTGTATTTTTGCAAGAGTATCAATACATTGAATAACTGCATGTTTTAATGGGTGGGTTGGATTAGTTGTAGAGGCACAAACAATTTTATTGTTTTTTGGGTCGTAAAATAAAACACCTGTTTTTAGATTTTTCGAAATTTTTAACGAAAATTTTTAGAAAAAAAGAAACCATTAGTCAATTCAACTTTAAAATATAAATTGCTATAAATTTCTATTTCTTTTGTCGAAAAATATTGTTCATTTAATTTTGCTTCCAAAATTGAATTTTTATGAAAAGAGACTGGCCAATATTTTTTTGCGAGTTCACATTGAGTTTGGGTTAGTGGAGCATTTCTAAAAAGGGCAAATATTTTTTAATTTTTACAAGAGAAAGAATAAATTTTATCAGAAAATTCCAAAATATCCTCGGATCCAGAACCGAAATTTTTTGAAAGCAGTTAAGATTGCTCTTTGACGGAGAGAGTCTCGGGAGACTTTTTTTTTAATTTTCTCAAAAAAATTTTCGGGATTTTTCGATAACTGAAAAGATGTTGGTTCGCTCACAACCTTCTGTACAGCAGTTCAGCTTTATTATTATAAGTCAACATCGAAATGTGTGACCAAAATTTAAAAAAACCTTGGAACAAATTGTTGAGATATTCTAATTTCTTCGTCTTCTTCTTCTAATATTTGTTTAATAGTAGTCAAAAGTGATTTTTCTTCATCTTCTCCCTCATCTTTATTAACAGAAATTAAAATTTGACTATTCCAAACTCTCTTTAAATGTTGAAATTTTTTGTCTAATTTAGGTAAATTAGCAACAATTTTTGTTATAAATTTTTTATTTTTTATTGAAAGAATTTTTGCTGGAATTAATTGAGGATTTGTAGTTAAAGAAGAATTTAATATTGGATTTATTAAAAAACTAAAGAGAGAATATTCTTTTTAATGTTATAAAAGTTTACCTTCGTTGCTTGGCTATTTTACCACATGAAGTTGAAAAATCATTATCAAAAGCTTCCGGTTGTTGTTCATTATTATTCTCCCAACACATTTAATTAAATACCATTTAAAAGCCTTTTAAAAAAGCCTTATTAAACAACTTAAATTCATCAAAAATCGAATTTTAATTACAGCCGGATAAATGAGAGAGTATGGAAAATGAGGAGAGTATTGTTAGAGAAAAAGAAAAAAATAGTTAGAAAATGTGTAAAAAGAGGAGAGTGTATAGAAAAAAAGAAAAAAAATTATTTAATAAAAATAGAAGTTCGCCCCATATTTTGCCAATTAGGCTAGAAACCCTCATTTTGTCAACACACTTATTGGCAAAACGTGTTGTTTTAGCCTTATTGGCAAAATGTGGTATTGGCAAAATATTTAAAAACAAATAGTTGAAAAAAATTTATTTTGTAAATATCATTGTGTAAAATTTCATTTTGCCAAAACTAGTTTTTGCCTGATAACAGGTATATTCTCCCTTACGTTTGATTAATTAGCTAATGTTAATTATTACTCTTTCCTTTCCCGTTTTTTATTTACACAAAAATCAATTTTAATTGTATATTAGTTTCGTGTTCCCCTTAAAACTTTCCTTTTTAATTTATCATTTTTTAATCTATTAATTTTTTAATTGTTTTAATTTTAATAATTTTACCCAAATTTTACCTTAATTATTTTTTGTGAAGGGGGGAAGGCCCCAAAAAATATAAAATAATTTTTGGGAGGAAGAGCCCCTAGACAGGGAGGAAAGCCCCCCAAAAACCTAGAAATTATTTTTTGGAAAGATGGAGGGAGGTCCTTCCCAAATTATTTTTTATGTGAATGGGAGGAAGGGCATCCCCAAAATCTCCAAATTAATTATTGTGAAGGAGAGGAGTGAAGGGAACGGAAGGTCCTCCCAAAAATCCCTCCAAAATTATTTTTTATAGGAGGGAAGAGGGCCACTCCCAAAATTCCTAAACTAATTTTTGTAGTCGTGTGGGGAGGAGGAAGGTCCTCCCAAAAATCTCCCAAATTATTTTTTATACGAGGAAAGAGGGCCACTACCCCAAAAATATGTAATAATAATAATTTTTTGTTTACTTCATTTTTATTTTTATTGATTTTCTCTGTAAATATTTTTTGGAAAGACGGGTTACTTTTTTTAATCTCGACGACCTTTTCCCCCCTATTTTTTGAATAACAATAATCGAATAATTTTTTTCTCGTCGTTTTGTTGTTCTCCCAGGCAACCACTGCCACACCATCAAATTTCCGAATATAGTTTTTTTTCTAATTTTATATTTTTTTTTATTTCCTTCCCCCGCCCATTTTTCTTGAGAGATTTAATAAAAGATATTTTAATAATTGTATTTTTACGTATATTTTATTTTAGGTTACTTGCCACAATTAAAAATTATTTAATCTATTTTAGAGAATAGGTTTCCGTTCTCGTTTCATTTTCTTTCTCTTTTTTTCTGTCCAACTCAAAATTTTTTATCAATTTGGCTAGAAAAGATAAGGGAACTAGCCAACGGGCCACCATTTTTTAAATTTTTTTGACGGCCCACCCAAGGACCGCAGCACTAAAATATCGATTTCCAAGGACCACCAATCCATCAGGGATTGTTCGGGTTTAGGGTTGATGGTTCTTCGATTCAGATCCGGATATCCGAAGATTTTCCAGGAACTGACAACTTGGTAATAGTGTCGTTTCCAGTCCACATTTTTTTTTTCCAAATTTTTCACCCTATGTTTGTACGGAAGGTCAAATTTTCCCCTTTCTTTCACCAAATTTGCCTTTCCATATTTTGCCTAAAAACAATCAAAAAGATTAATTTTTTATTCAGTTCTTTCACAAGGAGATTCACCAAGCATGGAAAATGTTTTCTGGCTATTATAGAAGGAAAAAGAAGTCTTTTTGACTGTTTTTAGGCAAAATATGGAAAGGCAAATTTGGTGAAAGAAAGGGGAAAATTTGACCATTCCGTACAAACATAGGGTGAAAAATTGGGAGGAAAAAATGTGGACTGGAAACGACACTATTACCGACAACTTTATTCAGGTTTACCAGAACCTGAACCTTTTTTTCGAATCGAATCCCGATTAGAAGAAATTTTTGAAACTCGAGACCCGACCCAGTTTTTTTCCAATCCATGGCATTCCTGACATTTCTGCAGTCCAAAGGTATTTGGCTTGTAAAAAAATTTTTTGGCTTGCTTCAATCGGATCAAATTGAAAAAAATATTTTCATTCCCCATTTTTTCTTCATCAATCACCAACACAAATTCCTTCTATTTTATTAAAGAGCGTGATTCATATTTTTCTTTTTTTTAATGTGTGTATGTTTCACGCTCCTTTTTATTTCAAATTTTTTTTTCTAAATTGCAGCCATTTCTCTATATAAATTATATCCGGAAACGTTCGCTTTTATTTTATTTTTTTTATCATTTTTTAAACGATTTTGCCTTTTTAAATTATTCATTTTTTTCAAAAAAAAATTTTTTGTTATTGCCTAATCATTTAATTAAAAAATTTTTTTCGAGGTTTTTCGATTATAACTTCAAAAATATTTGATGAAAATTGTCAAACTTTTCATGGAGGTAGTCAAGGATTAGGGTTGGGGGCCGGATCCTGCCCAATCCGAAAGATCGAGTCGGACATTGAATTTTGGCCCGAAACAGACTCGGCGGGCCGGCCCGAAGAAAATGACTCGAACGTCGGCCCACTCGAAAACCCCCAACCCTAACAAAGATGTTAAAGAAATTTGAGAAAAATTTAAGATGAATTTTGGTTTCGTTCCAACCCCCCTTTTTAAACGATTTTTTTGCCTTTTTAGATTATTCATTTTTTCAATTTTTTTAAAATATTTTTTTGCCTAATCATTTAAATAATACCCAAATAGAATTTTTAGGGTAATAAAAGGCTCATCTCACTACTACAAATATTTATATTCATATCACTATATTAAAAAATATTTTTTATAAAAAGCGCACTTTTGCGTGTTTAATAAACACAAAATATTTATTATTATTTTTACTTTTATTTGCTACAAAAACAACAACAAGAAGAAAAATTTTCAAAAAATTTTTGAAAATTTCTGAAAATTTCAAAAAAATTTTTTTGAAGAAAATTTCAATTTTTTTAAATTTCTTTCATCATTTGACATTTATATCTCCAATATATATTTTTTGCTTATAATTTAACACCATTTTTACAAATATTAATACTGCCAACAACAACAAAACAACTAGACATTTAAACTACTAAATCAGCTCAAAAAACAACAAAAAAAATTAAAAAAAATGCCATTATCTTCAGAATTAAAATATTTTCTACATTTAATAGCCTTTATTTGTTGGATAAGTCTTGTGGAAATATTTTATGGTGTGTTGTCTTTTGATTTTTTTAGAAAATCAGACAACAATTTTGAAGATTTTGGAGAAGAATTTAATCCTATTGAAAGGTTTTTATTTTTTTTTTTAAATTCTAAAAATAGAAAGAATAAAAATTAAGAAATAAGTAGAAAAATAATTTACGGTTACCATGGTTTCTGAATTTAATTTGGAATACATTTTTGGAAACGTTCCTTTCTTTGTTTCTAATTTAAGAGTTTTGTAGTTTCAAGAAAAACGGAAAAGGTTTTAAAGACATTTTTAAGTTTTCTCATTATTGACATCGATGGTGTAGTCGGAAAGATTTCAGTTTTTAAATATGTGGGCAGGGTTCGAGCTCTCCTAGTGAAAACCTTTTTTATTTTTTAATTTTATGAGACGTCTATTTTTTTCAACAAAATTTTTTAAGTAAATTTATTTTTTATTTTATAGATATGGCACTATTGTGACTATTTTGCTTTATTTAATTCGATTAGTGTCTTTACTGGTTTCTTTTAAATTTCAAAAAAAAAAAAATTTTTTTTTTCTTAAAGGTTCTTCCTCAATGTATTTGCAATTCACTTGGACTTGTTCTCTTCAATGGTTTTAAAGACAAAATAAAGCTCAAATCAACGCCTTTATTTGCTCCATTTATTTGTTTTAGAGTTGTTACTAAAGGAAATTTTCCTGAATTAGTTAAGGTTTGTGTAAAAGTTTGAAATTAATATTTTTGAACTCTTTTAGTGAGGGTTGTAGGGGTAATCTCGTTAGCATTTAAAACGCTTATTTGTGGGAGGTTTATTATTCCTTATAAAGAAAAGTGAAGCACGTCCCCAAGTAGCTTATTACACTCGGTAAAGCTGGGTGAGCGAAAAACACCCCATTTATTTGGTGAGCAATAACTGCCAGAGGTCATGGGATCGATGCCTGAAATGCGCCAAGCTTTTACCTCACCGGGTATTGCTTTTAGTGACCAGCGCGGGATGCCTGCTCTGTATATTGCGAGATCCAGCTCCCGCAATCGGACTTTTTTTTTTATAATTTGCGGGATCCCTTCCCTCAAAGATTTCTATAGAAAATTATTTTGTTGGTCACTAATTTGCTTATAAAAAGGAAAAAACTTTTTTTATTTCAGATGAATCTCGAAAAAAATCTTTTAACGTGTCATGAAGCTGGACTTGAAAGTTTTATTTTTGAAGTAGTAACAGACAAATCAGTCAATTTGCCCCATTGTAATCGAGTCCGCGAAGTTGTTGTTCCTTTGGATTATAGGTTTTTTTAATTAAAATTTTTTTTGAAAAAAATTTTTAAGGACAAAAACTGGAGCAAAATTCAAATCTCGAGCATTACAATATTGCTTGGAAGACAAAGTTAATATTTTTGGAGATGATGATTGGATTGTTCATTTGGATGAAGAAACACTCCTTTCTGTTAATTCGGTAAGGAAAATATTTTAAAAAAATTTTCTAAAAATTTTTCTGAAATTTTTTGTGAAAATTTTTTCCTGAAAAAAATTTTTTAGGTGAACGGAATTTTAAATTTTTGTGAAGATGGAAAACACCACTTTGGCCAAGGTGTAATAACTTATGCTCAAGGCGAAATTGTAAATTGGCTGACTACTTTATCTGACTCTTTCAGGTTCTTTTTCATTTAAAAAATTTTTTATATTTCTTTTTTTAGGGTAGCTGACGATATGGGTAAATTACGTTTTCAATTTAAAGTGTTTCACAAACCCTTATTTGGCTGGAAGGGATCTTTTGTTGTTACAAATGTATATTTTTAATTCTCAAAAAATTTTAAAAAAAAATTTTTGCAGGCTGGTGCCGAAAAGAAAGTTTCTTTTGATCATGGTCCTGAAGGTTCTATAGCGGAAGATTGTTTTTTCTCTATGGTTGCATTTCGTGATGGTTATTCTTTTGACTTTATTGAAGGGGAAATGCATGAAAAGAGGTTTTTATTTTTTTTAATTTTTCAAAAAAATTTCTCTTCAGTCCATTCACTTTTTGGGATTTTCTTCAACAAAGACGACGATGGTTGCAAGGAATATTTTTAACTGTTCATTCAAAATATATTCCTTTTCGATGTAAATTTTTGTTGGCAAGTTCACTTTATGCTTGGGTTACTTTACCTTTAACAACTTTACAGGTTTTTTTAGAAATTTTTTTTTAGAAATTTTTAAAATTTTTTCAGATTTTTTTAAATCCACTTTTGCCTCTTCCAAAGGCTTTTGTACTTGATTTTCTTGTTGCTTTTGTTGGCGCTGTAAATCTTTACATGTACATTTTTGGTGTTATCAAATCATTTTCACATAAATATAGGTTCCTTTAAAAGAATTTTTCGGGGTTTTTTTTGGCTATTTCTGGACCACCACATCCCTTTGGGCCACTAACCTCTTCCTCTTTTCATTCCTCTGGATTTTTGTTGGTGCCGTAAGTAATCCCCTAGGGTATCAACACCCCGCCTACCTCTCTGTGCCACTAGCCACCCTCTCTGAATTTTTGCTGGACCACTAAACACCTCCTCCTGGCTTCTAATCATTTTTTGGATCCCTAGCCACACTCTATATTTTATTTTTAAATTCAGAAACAATTTTTGGAGATTGCTCATTTATACATTAGCTGCACTTGTAGCTATTCCATTTAATATTTGGATAGAAAATATGGCTGTTTTAATGGGTATATGTTCAAATAAATTTGAATTTTACGTTGTAAACAAGGACACAAGATTAATTAATAGCCAAATTGTTTGATGATTGATGACACCAACAATTTATCAGCTTATATTTTTTCAATTTTTCAAAGCATTTCTGTCTACGCAAGTATTTTTTTTAATTTTTTATATATCGTAAATGTTCTAATAAAAGCCCTGGGGGTTTATTTTTTCAATGAGTCTAATTGAGGGTTTTCTAGTTGGGCATGGGCTTTTATTGGAGATGCGCTTCTCTTAGAAGAGGCGGGCTTTCTATCGAAGATGGGGCTTCTACTAAAACATTTACGGTGCTTTTTTGACCTCTTTTATAATTTTTAGACTTTTTTTAAATTTAATTAATACGTGTGTTTTCTCTCTCTGTCTCAATTTTTACTTAAAATATTTCAACACTGCTAAAATTAATTGAATCGAATCAATTCCCTAAGTGCCTAAATAAAAGGAAAATTCACAAAAACAATTTTAATCTAAATAATTGATCTCTTCTTTCATTATATAAAAATTAAAAAAATCATGGGGTGCAAAAAAATTTTTTCGTCAAAAATTTTTGAAATTCTTTGGAGTTTCTTTCATAAACTCATGATTTTTTTATAAAAACCATATCTGTCTCTCTTAAAAAAATTTTTTTCATATCTTTTAAATTTTAAGACTTTCTCTCTCATATCTCCTTCCAAATTTACTTATCTATTTATCCACAAAAAGAGAGAATGAGAAATTTTAAGTGCGCTTAAAAATTTCGATCTCTGCCTTTGACAAAATCAGATATCCCCCCTTCTTTCACGGCAGTCTCCTTTAAAAATATGGTGAAAAAAGATTTTTTGACATTTTTGGAGTCTTGAAAAAATTTTGTCCGACACCGGGTTCGAACCATGGTGGTTGCTTTAATGAAAATTTAACATTTTCCCACTACACCACACAGTTTGTTGAAAAAATAATGCTTGTTTTAAGGGGGGATTGCCGTGGGAATATTTTTTATTTTTGTAAAAATTTTTTCTGAAAAGCTTGTCTTTTTATTTTTAATCTTTCGATTCTGATTTTTTTTAATTTTATATAAAAATTTATTTTTTATTATTCCACTTTTTCATTTTTTTAAACATTCAGGAAATTCGTTAAAATTACAAAATAATTTTATATTAATTATTAAAATGTTTGTTTGATTAATTTTTGTTTGATATTTAGATATTAAAGTATAATTTAAATTTGACAAGCCTGAAAGACGATCACGACCTCTTCTTCTCTGAATTTTTTAAAGGTAAAAATGAAATTTTTTAATTCAAAAAAATTTTTTTTTTGGAAATTTTACCCACGGAAAATTTTTCTGGAAACCCCGGCCCCGTAATTTTTCTGACACCTTTAGACTTGAAAATTTTCAAAAAAAAATTTTTAGGAGAGAATCTTACGAGTTAAATTTTTTAATAGGTCAAATTTCCCCCAAAAACTTTTTTGGGAAGAATTTTTTAGGATCCTTATCCCCGGAAAATTTTTTTTGAAAAAACCTAAACTATTTTTTCTCCTAAAATTTTTTTAAAAATTAAAAAAAACCTTTTTCTTGTAATCCGCCTGAACATAATCTCTCTTATCACTCTTATTGTGTATATGTAAAAAAGTATTTGAACGTGAAGTATTTAATCCATCAGGTCTTGTTATATTTTTAGACAATCCTGCTTCTCTTTAAAAAATTTTTATAAGGATTTTTAAAAATTTTCTAACCTCAATCTTTGAAAGAATTCATCATCTTCTAATCCCCAACCCCAAAAATTATTTGACATTCCATTTATTTTGATAAAATCATTTAATGTAATCAAGAGAACACCTCCAATATAACTTTTATAATCATACCTAGAAAATGAAGGAAAAAATTTTTAGCCTAGAAAATAAAAAAATCTTAAAAATATTCTAAGCCTAGAAATTTTTTTTGGAATTTTTAAAATGTTTTCGAGAACTTAATAAAAATAATAGAATAATAACCTTTTTATTGGATGATATTTTCCTGGTGTTATATGAAATAATTGTCCTTCTCCTGGATAACTATAATTTAATGCTGGATTTAAAGGAACTGTAAAAAATAAATTTAAAATTTTTTGAAAATTGAAAAATAATATTTTCTGAAAATTTCTGACTAGGCCCTTCTATCCTAAAATTTTTCAAGCCTAGGAAAATTTTAAAAAATTTTAAGAAACCGATATCTATATCATGTAAAGCAATATAATCGCAATTTTCTTCTTTGGCCTGTAAAGCTCCAATATTTAAAAGAGAAGCACGATTAAAACGGAAATTGTCTGTTTGATTAATAATTAAAAATTTTGAAAGATTTATTAATTGAGATTTTAGAAAGACATCTATTTTTGGTATAGTAAATTGTGCTAAATCCCAACGATTTTTAAAGGGGAAAAGAAGGCAAAGTTGGTGGATATTGTCGTTGTTTTTGGTTTTGTTGTTGAGGTTTCTGAAAAAATATTTTTAACTGGTTAAAAGGGTTGACTTTGGGACCCAGGACCCTATGAAAATTTTTAAAACTTAAAAAAAATTTTCTAGACCTGAAAAAATATTTTAGCTGTTAGGGTCCTAGAAAAAAATTTCGCTAGAAAAAATTCGGCTAGTACGAATTCAGGCTAGAATTTTTCGATTTATAAATTAAAAAGGGGACCTTGGGTGTGGTAAAGTCAATTTAAAAAAATACTTGTTCGATGGCATTTCAAGCATAATCATAAATAAAAAATTGGCTAAGAGAAAAAAGATAATGGCAAGCAGAAGTATAGGAAATAATTTAAAATATTGTTTTCTATGTCGTGACATATGTACATTATTGTGTTGAATCCTAGAAGTTCTAAAATTATTTAAAAAATTTTTGAGAAAAAAGGAATTTTCTAAAGAATTGCCTAAGGTTGTTGACAAAATGTGGGTTTTTACCCTTGCTGGCAAAATGTCGAGTTGATATAATTTGGGGAAACGAAATTTTACATTTTGTTTTTTATAGCGAAATTAGAGAACGAGACCTTCACAAATAGTGTTAAATAATAATTTCTCTAACCGCAATTTATCTCTAATACATGTACTCTTTCTTAATTTGTTGTGTATTTATTGTGTATATTTTTATGCATCTTTAACTCAAAGTTTTGTTCTTTTACATTTATTGGTTTTTGATTTTTTGTTCATTTCTTCAGAATTTTCTGTTACTTTTTTAATATTTTTGCTTTAAAATTGTTCTAAACTTTTGTTTTTTTTCAGGAAATTTTGTTGCGAAAAATATGTCTCAAGTAGTAACCCCAGCTTTGGAAGAAGCCGAACAGGCAATGTATGCTCCTTTCTTTGGATCACTTGGAGTGACTGCTGCAATGATTTTTACTGCTGCTGGTTCTGCTTATGGAACGGCTAAATCAGGTTATTTTTAAAGTTTTTTTTTGTTCATGAATTTTTTAAATTTAGGGACTGGCATTGCCTGCATGTCTGTTGCAAGGCCTGATCTTGTAATGAAAGCAATTATTCCAGGTTTTTTATTTTTTAGTTTACTCTTGTAATTGTCTTGATCTCACAGGTTGTGGAACCAGAGTAGTACTCAGTCCCCCAAAACCTCGTCGTTTTTTGGCAAAACCCCAACCCAATGCCGAAGGGTTGGGGTGCTATCCTATGTAGAACTATCGATGTTCTTTTTAATAGCCCTTTGCCAATTGAACCGGTTCCAGGAACCAAGCTTAAACTTGGGGCCGTCAGGGGAATGAAACAACCACTCGATTTTTTGGAACCGGAAAAGCAATGATGGTGGTTCTTGGAATTTTAAAAATTAAAAGGACACAACTTTGATTTATCATTTTTTAAACATTTTTTCAGTTGTAATGGCAGGAATTGTTGCCATCTATGGATTAGTTGTTGCCGTTATAATCTCTGGAAAATTGGGAGTTGGAGGAAAGGAATACACTGTAAACGCCGGTTTTTCACAATTTGCAGCTGGTTTAGTCTGTGGACTTTGTGGTTTAGGTGCTGGTTATGCTATTGGAATTGTTGGTGATTCTGGTGTTAGAGGATTGGCACAACAACCGAGACTTTTTGTTGGGATGATTTTAATGTTGATTTTTTCGGAGGTTTTTATTTTTTATTATGGGAATTTTGTACTTTTGTGATCGATCCAGTTTTATTTTCTCCCCAAATCTTAGGCGGTTAGTACACAGTTTTGGGTGTTCGAACCTACGGTCCATGTTTGGGCGTGTGTACTTTAACTCTGGCTGAGTAGAACCCATATCAATAGGATGACCACTACCAGAGCAATTTGAGTGAATGACTGCTGGTATGTTCCTCTTCTGCCTGGCCAAGACGTGGAAGTAGTTGTGTCTTACAAAATTCCAAACTTTTTAGAACCAACTTTGACAGAAGCTGGTGAACAATGAACATACAGATGAACAATGCCGGACCGTAGATTCTAACATCCAGAGCTGATTACTTATTGGCATAGATGTGTGGAGAAAGTAAAAAAGGGTCATTCAAAATTCCCTTTTAGTGTTTTTTTAATTTTTACATTTTATAATTCTAATTTTTTAAGGTTCTCGGCCTTTATGGAATGATTGTCAGTTTATTATTGAGTGCTTCATAATGAGCTTTAGAATCTGTGTATTAAATGACAAACGAGACAAGAAGCAAAAAAACAAGTTTTTTTCTAGTATTTTTTTATTTAAATTTTGTCCAAGAGAATTTTTAAAAAATATTTTTTCATAAAAATTTTTGGAAATTTTTTTCGATTTTTTAAATTTCTTATAATTTTTTAAACTTTTTTTTAATAATATTAGCAAGTTTATTATTTTTTAACTTGCATTATTTCAGTAAAAACATGTCCAGAATTTTTCAGTGTGAGGAGAGATAAATAATAAAAAAGCTTTCTCTCACAGTGTGAAAACTTGCCAAGCAATTAAAATAATGTTGTTTTTTATTTTAAACTTGTGTATTTTAAGTATTTCTCTCTGATTTTTAATTTTGGTTTTTGTTGTGTTTTTTAGGTTTCTGTTTTTTCTGATTTTGGGGGTTTTTGTTAGAAATTCTGATTGTTTTTATACATGTATTCTTGACAATATTGAAGAAAATGCCTTCAATAAAAGTAAAAAAAGGCATTTAATTTGGGGGAATGCCGCTGCTACCAACAACAATAAAAGGGGGTGGGTAATCGCCCGTAAAATTGTCCATTTTTTAAATTCTTTTTGCCATTCTCTGGGAGGGGAAAAGCGAAAAAAAGGCATTTAGATAAAATTCTCTATATTAGTTTATTTTTATTACCTGAATTCTGACTTGTTAAAATAAATTTTATTTTTCTAATTAGAATTTTCTTTCAATTTTTTTTCGTGAGAATGTCTGCCCTCGCTTCAACCAAAAATCATTCTTCTGCTATCAATCGTCCTCGGCACCCTCCCTCTAAACCTCTCACACAATCTTCTTCTTTTGTTTTTGGTTCATCAACACCTCGAGAGATTTCTTATATTAACAAAACAAAAGTTTCTCCACAAGATCGTCTTCTTATTGATACAGAGCCTAGACGAAAAAAACCTTTGCCTCCTGTTGGGGATAAAGATATTATTTATTACATGAGACAAGCAAGATCGATTGGACCACGAGGTGGGGGATTATTTTTTGAAAAATATAGTGATCGAAATTTCGTACCGTATCCCATACCGTAATACCGAAAAATGCCGATGAACAACTTATTTTTATGTCCGCAAAAAAGTTGCGGACGTCCGCAAATTTTTTTACGGACAAAAAATCCGCAAATAAAGGTAAATACCTAAAAACAACGTCGGTAGTGCGGTTCAATCCGATCACTATACAATCTTTTTGTTAATCTATTAAAGTTTTCACAGATCGCAAAAAGGCAGCTTCACAAAATTATGCTTTTGGTTCTTCAACGCCACGTTCATTATCCCATTTAAGTAAATTAGCAAAAGAACAACGCGTTTATGATGCAAAATTTGAGCGTATTGTAAACAAGGAAAGTCATGGAATGCGTTCAGCAACAAATCCAAATTTGGTTGGAAATAATAAACCGATAAGTAAGTTTTTCCGAGAGGGGAACATCTTCCTGTTGGAAACTCAGGTTCGATGCCTGGCAGATGTTGGCGCCTGCTTTAGCCCAAGCGGGGGAGGCAATTGCGGGTCTAGCTTTGTCAGGTCTATCACAGGGATCAGGCCAGGGATATCAAACAAGTTATCTGAAGTCCGATACCCTAAATTCGAAATTCTGGACGGTATTCCGATACCAAACGTAGAAATTTTTGAAAACCTTGACACCCCCCCCCCTCCTCCACATGAAAATCTTTTAAAGTTGACTTAAACTAAACTTTTCCCCTTAAGAAGCACAAAAACAACAGCAACAACACCAAGACGAGGATGATGCAGCTTCTGAACCTGACATTGTACAGGATAGACGAGCAGACTTTTTGATGACTCGAAGTGCTTTTGATATGAAAAACAAAAAAGATGAGGAGAAAAATGATGAAGAAAAAAAGAAACAAGAAAATAAAAAAGTTTTGGAAAACACATTGCGCAATAATTTAAAATTAGCTGAAGAACGTACAACTCCTAGTCCGGAGAGTGAATATTTTCGAACCACATACAATTTTGTTGAAATCAAGTGGGGCAACAAAGACACCACACAAGTCACAATACTTAAGGGAAGCAACTGAACGGAGATTTAAACATTTATAACGGGATTAGTAGGTTTTAAAGGGGCAAAACTTGAATTAATAAACGAAAATTTTGTGAAAACCAAATAATCAAACCTAATTTTCTGAATTCTAACAGCAGATTGGAGTTCTTCAGTCACTTTTTCTGCTGATTCTTGTTCTTCTAAAACATATACATCAAATAGACGGTCCTCCCGCAACAATTCACCGGCCTAAAAAATAATCTAGAAACCATAACAAATAGTTAAAAATAACCTCTTAAAAATTTTCAAGGCTTCTGATGGTAATATTGAACCTGACAGACCCCTTTTTTTCCTCCCCAAGTTTTCCCCTAAATTTTTACAGAATGGTCAGACTTTACACTTCCTTCCATGCAATTTGCCTTTCTATATTTGCCAGAAATCAAACAAAAAGGATTATTTAATTTTATACAAGTGAAAGTATATGCAAAAAAGTAAGAGGAGTATTAATTTTGTTCTCAATTTATAAAAAAAATGGAGGAAACTTGGGGAGAAAAAAGGGGGTCTGTCAGGTTCAATATTACCCTTCTGATACTCTGTCAAAGCTGAAAATTAAGTAATTAAAAAAATTTTAAAAATAAAAATAACCTATCAAAAGATCAACCATTCAAAACAAGCAAATCAATGCATCTAACCAACATTTGCTGTACGTCTTCTCGTTTGACAAGAACTTGGCCACCATTTAATTGGCTTTAACCTTGGGAAAGGATAAACCTATTTAGGGGAGAAACCTTGCGGACAAAACTTGCGAATTTAATAAAAAAAAGCTAACCATGTAGACGAGAGCATTGGAGTTTAATTGTTGCACTGTTGGAGTGAAGCCATTGCCCAAATATCTCCGAAGAGACTCTGGGGCTTTTGCCCAAATATCTCCGAAGAGACTCTGGGGCTTTTGCCCAAACATCTCCGAAGAGACTCTGGGGCTTTTGCCCAAATATCTCCGAAGAGACTCTGGGGCTTTTGCCCAAATATCTCCGAAGAGACTCTGGGGCTTTTGCCCAAACATCTCCGAAGAGACTCTGGGGCTTTTGTGGGTACCCTTTTGTGCCCATATATGGGACTTTTGTTGTTGCTGCTGTTGAAGAACTGAAAAAAATTGGATAGATTTTCAAAAATTGAAAAAAAGCAAGTCTTGTCCGCAAGTCATTACTACCCCCACCCCTCAAAAAGGTTAACCCCAAAAAAGGAAAAGCCCTGCATTCTGTTGTGGAACATCTTTGCTTTAAATGGCAACAGAGAAAACTAGATGAGTCATTAAAAATCGATTATTGATTTTTGGGATGAAGTGTCATTTACTCTTAATGTTTTGCATTATGCCAAATAGCGCAAATTTATGAATTCTGAAACAAATATTGTTAACGGTAAAAAGAAATAGCGGTTTTAGAACCGATTTATGGACTTCTTATTGTTAATTGGAAATTCGTTAAATTAAATTTAAAATAAAAAAAAATAATTTTAAAAAATTTAACAAAAAACATATTTTGCCAATATCATATTTTGCCAATGAGGCTAAAATAACACATTTTGCCAATAATATTATTGGCAAAATGTGTGATTTTAGCCTTATTGGCAAAATGTGTTTACGGTCTTTTGATATTTTATTTTGCCTCCTAACGTTTCTGTTTTCACTCGTCGTAGATTTGTTTAATTTTTTAAGGTTTTTTAACTGCTTTTTAGGAGTGATTATATTTTTCTACGATGGAATTTGATGAAGAGAAACCAAAAGATGTCAAAATTGATAGAAAAAGCAGAAGTGATTCCTCAAAAACTTCAAAAAACAATGAAGACAAAAAAGATGTTTTGAAGAATTTAACAGAAAAAGAACCGGCACCGCCTGTAAAAAGAGAGCCTCTGTCTTTGGAAGAACTTTTGGAAAAGAAGAAACAAATGGAGGAAGTTAATAGCAAGGTTTTGTAATTTTTTTATCTTGGGAAAATTGGTAGGTTAGGGGCCCTTTTTCTTTATGTAGAGCTAGAAACAGGACACGATCTAGCCCTAGAGGCCGGCGAGATCATGTTTGCGGGGTCCCGCATGCGGGATTTTTTTCAAATTTTTATGGGGACGGGTTCTCGCAAGAATAATCCCGCAAAACGCAAAAAGTGCGGGCTTACGGGACGGGATCCCGCAAAATCCCGCGCGGGATTTCGTCCCGCGCCAACCTCTAGTTACAGCAATGGAATAGTTCAAACTACCTGGAAATATAGGACTTACGTTCTCTTTTTCATAAAACTGACGTCGTATTTGATATAATTAGGGAAAAATTGGGGAGGAAAAGGACGCCCTTAAACGACATTTTCATCGATTTTTCATTTTTTCAGCCAAAATTTTTGACAAAAGCTGAACGTGAAGCAGAAGCATTGCAACGTCGAAAAGAGGAAGTTGAACGAAAACAAAAGGAATTGAAAGACTTGGAAAAACAACGAAATAAATTTCTTAGTGAGGCTCGAAAATCTGATCGTGATAGTAGAAGGGATCGTGATTATAGAAGGGACAGGGATAGAAGAAGTCGTTCACGTTCAAGAACTCGTAGCAAAGAAAGAGAAGAAAGGCGTAATGAAAGAATAGCTGAAAAGGATAGGGAAAGAATGCAAGAAGCTATTAAGACGCGTTATTTGGGTATGTTTATAATTTTTATTTTTGGGTGACAGGAAAATTTTTGGTAGAATTTTTATTTCTGGTTAGGACAGGCACGTGTTTCCGACAAGCACGTAGCCACCAAGGATGGGATGGGTTGAGAAAAAGCCGGATTGGGTTTTTATAATTTTTCTTCGGATCGAGAAGAAGGTTCGATTTTCGGTAACCTCATCCCTGGTAGCTACGCGTCTGGTTTCAGAAATAGTTTTCTGCTCTCTAAAGTGAGTCAATGTCGGCCTCATTTTTACCATTAAATTTTAATGTGAAGGGAAGAGAGAATTTTAAATTCGCAACTGATTCGGAAACCAGTTAAAGCCTTGGCATTAATTCGTTTTATGTAGTTTCTCGGATCTTTTGTTTCTTAAAATTTTTTTTAATTTTTAAAGGTGCCCCAAAAGAAAAACGTAAATGGGGACGTCGTTTACATGAACGTAAATTTATTTTTGATTGGGAACCTACAGATGATACCTCAAATGATTACAATGATTTATATAAAGAAAGGCATGAAGTTCAATTTTTGGGAAGAGGTTCAATTGCTGGAATGGATGTAAATCAACAAAAGAAACAAAAATCTGAATTTTATCAAAAATTGTTGGAACAACGTAGAAGTGAAGCAGAAAAAGAACAAGAAAAGCATAGGTTTGTTATATTATTTTTTTGGATTTTAAGAGGTTTGAGCTTAGGATTGATTTTGAGACTATATACCGGAACGCTCTTAGTGATGCGGATCTCCTGGCAGTTTAATAGCCATCTCCACGATCATTAGTTTTACAGTGGCGCTGACTGCTTTTTTCGTTTGGACGGACCATGTCCTCTGCCTAGTTATAGGGACCCGGGATCGTTTCAGCTTGAAATTAAAAATTTTTCAAATAATTTTCTTTTTCTAAAGATTAAAACAACTACAAAAGAAACAGAAAAAGGAAGATTGGGATAATCGGCATTGGACAAAAAAAGCTTTAAATGAAATGACTGATCGAGATTGGAGGATATTTCGTGAAGATTTTAATATTACAATAAAAGGTGGACGTGTCCCAAGACCTATGAGACATTGGGCTGAAATGAATTTACCTAAAGATGTCCATGATGTTATTTTGGAAGTTGGATATAAGGTTTGTTTGTTTTTAGAATTTTTTTAATTTGGAAGGGGAGGGGGAGGTGTGATATTATAGTTTCGAAATGTCAAAAACCCCTCCCAATAATCGGTGAAATGTTAAATATTATGGGGGGTTTTGGAAGGTTTGACATTTTAACGTTTATGATGCTCTCCGTGATTTAACTGATTTAACACGCACCTCCGAGATAGGGATGCTTGTTAGGTGTTTTTGGGATGGTTTTTCAAATGTCTCACTTAATCATTTCATTCTAAACTATTTTTTTTTCTATTTTTTCTCGATATTCCCATAAGAAATAATTTTTTTCCTTTAATTATTTTAAACCAGTTTTGATTTTTGTTTCCTTTTAGTACATTCATATGTCCTCTTCTATTTTTTAAAATTTTTTCTTCCATCTTATTAACTGTCATAAATTAATAACACACGTTATTTTTATTATTTCCTTGACAACAAAAATTCTTTGTAAATAATTTAATAGTATTTCAAAATAAGAGGAATAGGGGGTAATTGTACTGATTGGAAAAGAAAATATTTTTTTGGGAGATATTTTTTTGGGAATTTTTTGTTTTTTCTTATTTCATTCTTTAAAATTTTTTTATATTTTTTAAAATCCGCAAGTTTTGTCTGCAAATTTTTTTTTGAATTAAAAAAAAAATTTTTTTTATTCTTACTCTGTCAAATTTGGAAATCCCTTAAAGTTTTAAGACTCAAATATTTTTTTTATTTTTAAATATTTCTTGACAAATAATTTTTGACATAATTTTTCAACAACTTTTACTTGATAAAAAAATATTTTTTTCTTCCTAACATTTAACTACGTTATTAGAACAAATAAAAGCACCAACCGGTAATTGTCAATTCTTATATATTATTTTCTCTTTTTTTTCTTTTATTTTCTTTTATTATTTTTAATAAATTAATGTTGGTCTCTCAATTTTTACACACACAACTATTACTTATTTTCTTTTATTTTTCTCTAAATTAATTTTTTTTATTTTTTTAACAAAAAATTCTGCCTGTAAGTGTTCGTCCTTCTCTTTAAAAATTTTTTTTTCAGTTTTAACATTCCTTGTTCTCTCTTTTCTTTTTTTATTTATTTTTATTTATTAGTTGGTTTAGTATGGTTATTTGTCACACAAATATTTTTTCCTTCCAAATTTTTTTTTTAATTTATTTGGTAACTGGTACTGACCGGAACGTCTCAATAAAAAGAAGGAATTATATTACGCATGCTTTTTTAAAAAATATTTCTGATTTTTTAAACTTTACGTCATTTAAATATAGGCCATGGGGTGTCGAAACATATTTTAATAAGGCGAAACAAAAAAAAAGGGTGCGAAAAAAGGGCGAAAAGCATCCCTGATATAGACTCTATTTTGCCTATTTTTAGAGAAGGAAAAAAATTTTTCCCATTTTTAGATGAGAAAAAATAAAAATTTTCCCAGCTTCTTCTCATAAAAATACGTGGATTCCCCCATTTTTTAAAAAACATTTTTTACCCCTATTTTTAACTTAAAATCAATTTCACATTTAATTATTAATTTCTTTTTTAAAGGAGCCAACACCAATTCAACGGCAAGCAATACCTATCGGTTTACAAAATCGAGATATTATAGGTAAATTTTAAATTTTTATATTTAAATAAATCCCTAAAGTGATCCTGCTTACCATCATTTTTTTCATTTCGGATGCGACAATGGGATTCCGTAAAGGATTGAGTTTCAGAAGATCGGTCGGAGGGGATCCTGCGGGATTAATCCCGTAAATCCCGTAATCCCGTTGCTCGCACACGGGATTGCGGATCGGATCCCGAGACATCCCTATTGGATCGGTCTCGTGCCCCACACTACTCACAGACAGGCACTGTTCAATTAACGCTTGTTTTTTTCGGTCAGGGTCGCTTCTTTGCCCTATTTCTCAACATAAAATTCCCTCCCTCTTTTTAGGTGTTGCAGAAACTGGATCAGGAAAAACTGCAGCATTTTTAATTCCTTTATTGTGTTGGATAACAACAGTTCCAAAAAAACAAGCAGCACCAATAATTTCATTAGATGAAGGAACAGAATATGAACAGGGGCCATATGCAATTATTCTTGCTCCAACAAGAGAATTGGCACAACAAATTGAAATTGAAACACATAAATTTGGTGATCGTTTGGGTATTCGAACAGTCTCAGTTATTGGTGGAGCATCTCGAGAAGATCAAGGAATTCGGATGAGAATGGGTGTTGATGTAAGAAGAGATTTTTTTAATTTTAAGAAAAATTTTTTTGAGAGGGTTTCTATGGGGTTTTTAAGAATTTTTTTCTACTTTAAGAATTTCGAGTAAAGTGTGACGAAAATCTCTCATTATAAATTTCTTTTTTTCAAAGACTAAAAAATTTTTTCCCTTTAAGGATTTTTTAAAAAGATTATTGAGATGATTTCTCCCCTCCCGACCTCCCCCATAAATTTATTTTATCTTGAATCGATAAAATAATTCAATAATTTCCTACATATATATTTAAATTGATTAATTTTTTTTAGAAAATTAATAAAATCAAAAATTCCTTTCCAGCATCAAAAAATTTTTTGAGGGGTTTTTTGGATTTTTGAAAAAAAATTTTTGAGACAGGATTTCTGCCCCATTTTTCATAAAAATTTTTTTCTTCTTCCAACAGATTGTTATTGCAACACCTGGTCGACTTGTTGACGTTCTTGAAAACAGGTATATGTCATTAAATTTATGCTCTTATGTAATTATGGACGAGGCAGATAAAATGCTTGATATGGGTTTTGAACCTGATGTTACTCGAATTTTGGAATTTATTCCTGTAACAAATTTGAAACCTGACACTGAAGAAGCTGAGGATGAAAATAAATTGCTGGAAAATTATACTTCAAAAAAGAAATATAGACAGGTTTTTCTAACATTTTTTTTGGGTTTAGTAGGATTCAAGAACTTAAAAAATACCCAACTACTTTTTATGTCTGTCAAGAGATTTCTAGGGTCCTTTGTAGAAAGTAACTTATCACCCCAACCAAATTTACTAGAGCACCAGGGATGTTATGGTTAAAGGAGAAAAACGAGTATGATTTCATTTCGAATTTACGATTGAAAAATCGCCACGTCTCGGATTTAGCTGAGTTTGATAACCTGGCTATCCCTGTAGAGCAAGAGCATAGCACTGATTGCCAGTAGGTTCGATTTCTCCCCAATTCCCGACCTTTCCTAACCTCTTTTTTCTGAACTTTCGAAAACCAAAGAAAAAATTTTTTATTTTTATTGATATTTTTGTTTACTGGAATTTTCTCTATCCATTAGTTTAATGATGTCTTTTTACATTAGCCATAATATAAATAAAATAATTTAATCCTTATACTTAAGGATATTTTTTCTTGTATAATATCTTAAATATTAACTTTGTCTCCTTTTAATCCTTTATTTATGTCAACAAATTTTTTTTTAATTTAAAGACAGTTATGTTTACTGCAACAATGTCATCAGCAGTTGAACGTGTTGCCCGTCAATATTTACGTCGTCCAGCAATAGTATATATCGGTTCTGCAGGTCGTCCAACAGAACGAGTTGAACAAATTGTAATAATGATGTCTGAAGAAATGAAACGTAAAAAAATTGTTGAACTACTTTTTGAACCAAATTTGTATATTCCACCAATTATTATCTTTGTTAATCAAAAAAGAGGTGCTGATTTGCTAGGAAAAGGTTTACAAAAAATTGGTTTTAATCCGTGTATTCTACACGGAGGGAAAGGACAAGAAGCTAGAGAATATGCTTTGGATGCTTTAAAAACTGGGGCAAAAGATATTTTGGTAGCTACAGATGTTGCTGGAAGAGGAATTGATGTTAAAGATGTTTCGTTGGTTATAAATTATGATATGACTAAATCTATTGAAGATTATACACATAGAATTGGAAGAACAGGTTTTTTAAAATTTTATTACTAAAATGAATATTGGAAATAATTTAAAAAATTTATTTTTTTGGGATTGGTTGAATTTCTAAATTTAATCTGGTTATTGAGTTGTGGTCTCCTTTTTTTTATTTTTCATTATTTATTCAGGGCTTATATCCCTTAGATTGGTTGCCTTTTGATTAACCTCTTCAAATGGTTAATGAATAGGGAATAATATATGGGCCCATAATATAAGAACTCGGTTAAATGACCATCGTCACTTGACCATGGTTATTTAACCAAAAGTTCTTATAATACTGGTTAATCCGTCGATGATGGAAACAACGTTCTTATACTTCAGGCCCTGAGATTAACCTAGCTTAATGTTTTTAGGATTTTTTAAAATTTTATTTTATTTACCGCTACATAGTAGTTTTTAATTACTGCAAAAATTTTAAAAATTTAATTTTATATTTTTTTAAGGACGTGCTGGCAAAAAAGGCAAAGCAATAACATTTTTAACGCCTGAAGACAAAGATTTATTTTATGATTTGAAGCAATGTTTATTAGAAAGTCCAATATCAAGTTGTCCTATTGAATTAGCAAATCATCCAGATGCACAAAATAAACCTGGAACTATCGTACAAAAAAGAAGACAAGATGAGACTTTGTATAGATAAAATTTAAATGATGTTTCCGGTCATTTTACTATTTTAAATATTTTATTTTTTCATGGACTTGTAGGTATCCAAAAAAAATTTATTTTTTGGTTCATATTTAGCACATAAGTTCCATGATCGTCCATCTAAAATAAACCTTTTTTTCATTTTTATTTTTTTTGTTTTATAAAATTTTTGAAAATTTTTTTTAAATTTCATTTTTTATTTTTGTTGAATTCTCATTTTAATTATCTTTTATTTTTTATTCATTTTCACGTTTAATTTTTATATTTGTTAAATAGATCAGCAACTAAAATTTTTTTTAAATAATACTTGTTGAAGAGAATGGCAGCTACTACACCTTTTAATGAAACAAATGATGCTCCAACTGCAGAAGGTGATGAGACTAGTAGAAGTAAAATTTTTTAATTTTAGTGGAGGGTTGGATTGAGATTGGATCCGATTAGGGTTAGGCACCGACATCTTAGGTGTCGAAAAGTTCGGACCTTGGTTTGTCGAGGGCTACGAATGTAGGGGTTCAGCCCTAGTTAATGTTTATTTGATTCCTTAAAAAAATTTTTAGTTGATTGGCCTTCACAATTGTTTAGAGATCATGTTATTTTTAGACTGTAAGTTTTCCTTTTATAGTTGATCGATTAAAAAAATTTTTTTAGTGAGGCAGAGCTGACAAAAGCTTTCAATATTCAGGTTTATTAAATGATCTTAAAAATTATTATTTTTTTAAAATTTAGCTCCCAGACGATGCACGACAAATAGAAGAATATGTTTTTCAAAATTGTCCAAGTAAAGATGAATATATGAGAACTATTGCAAGGGTTTTTATTTTATTTTTTATCGTTTTTCGGAGCAGTTCAAGTTAATCCCAGCCCTATAACTCAGCAAGGTGTTGGACAATTTTTAGTGCTTATTGTTAATACCAACGGATAGAGAAATGATACCTCCTCTTTGTAGCTTCCAAAATTACTTTCATTTTTCCGCAAATCATTTTTCCTCAGGTGATATAAGTGAGTGAATTCTTATCTCATATACATCTTTAAAAAAATAAATTTGGAACTTAAATTAGAGTGGTATCATTAAAGTACACCATTCTCTATTCATTGGTGTCAAGAACCTCAAGAAGTGTTTTAAAAATTATGAAAAAATTTCCTACAAATTAAAAAATTTTTTTGTTTATAAGTTATAGGGCTGGGAATCAGTTGAGGTATAGGGGTTTTTTTTATCATTTTTAGGCTATAAATGAGATGCACTTTGGATAGATAAAAATTGAACGATGTTTCCGGTCATTTTATATTTATTTTTTCTTGGACTTGTAGGTATCCGCAAACTTATTTTTTGGCTCTAGTTTAGGACATTAGTCATGTTTGTTCCCCGTCCCCGAAAGTCGGTGAATTTGAGAGAAAAATGGTATAAGCGTCCCTTTGGTAGCTTTTACTCTGCTCTTTTTGTGAAGTATATACTCTTATGTAATGAGTATATGCTCATAGGACTCATGTCCTAAACTAAACCATTTTTATTATTTTATTTTTTGTCTTTATAAAATTTTTTAGAAAATCCTTTTCAATTTAATTCTTTTATTTTTATGTTGAATTAATTCATTTTAATTATCTTTTTTATATTTTAAACTCTTTATTTTTTAAATAGATCAGCAACTAAAAAATTTCTTTTAAATAATATTAAGTAGTAAAAGAGAATGGCAGCTACTACACCTTCTAATGAAACAAATGATGCTCCAACTGCTGATGGCGATGAGACTAGTAGAAGTAAAAAATTTTTTTTAATTTTAATGGGGGGTTGGATTAATTTTGAGGATTGTTGGGGCTACAAATGTCGGGGTCGGGTTCACCTTAATTTTATTTGATTCTTTAAAATTTTTTTCAGGTGATTGGCCTTCTCAATTATTTAGAGATCATGTTATTATCAGACTGTGAGTATACCTGCTCTAATAAGTCGATTAAAAATTTTTTTAGTGAGCCAGAGTTGGCAAGAAACCGTCAAAATGCTCCTAATCTTCCGGTTTATTTTTAAAATAAATTAAAAATATTTTTCTATCTTTAGGTCCCAGGCGATGCACGTCAAGTAGAAGAATATGTTTTTCAAAAATGTTCAAGTAAAGATGAATATATGAGGACTATTGCTAAGGTTTTGTTTTTTAATTTTGGATTTTTTCTTCTTTGCGTTGCAAACTTTGAGGCCGACTAGTTTTAGTTTCATATGCCTAGCCTAGAATGTTGGAAATTTTCTAGTGTAAATCGGTTATTTTCTATCCCTCGTCAAAGAGAAAAAATACAAAAAAATTTTCCCAGTTCGGATGTTAAATTTTTTATCATTTTTTAGGTTATAAACGCCATAAATTGCAATTCAAAAAGCACAGCTATGCCGCCAGGGTTTCAAGCACAACAGCAACAAGGAGGAATTGTTAAATCGCCAAATTCTTTATTAACTCAACTTGGAAATGGTGGAGGGGGATTGGGAGGAAGTGTAACACCAACAACAAAGGCACAGGTTTTTCAGTTGAAAAATATTTTTTCGAAAAATTTTTCAAGATTCCGCCTGATCCACAGCCTACACATCAACAACAACCTCAGGCCCGATTTCCTTTGCAACAACAACCTTCTAATACATCAATAGACCAACAAACTTCATTTCAAATGGGACAACCTCCACCAATAATGATGCAACAACAATTTCCTCCTTCTGATCAAATTGATGGTGTTGCTCCAGATCCATTAATGCAAAATTCAAATTCTTCAATGGGAGTAATGGATTATGGAAGAATTCAACAACACCAGCCAGGGACAACATTTACTCCACAACAATATCAACAGCAAGGTAAATTTTTTTAAATAGGGTGTTGGTCCCCGACACCCCCATTTTCCGAAGAGTTCTCCCTGACATCCAAGCTTCACGGACATCACCGTTCCTTGGTAAAGTTCTCTTTGACAAGGACCAACCCTAATTAAAATTTTTTTTATTTTTATAAAATTGTAGCAATGATGGGTCAACCAATGCCTCATCAACAACCTTTGAGTGGTTCTTCTACAGCTGTTCCTTTATCAATGCAGCAACAAGTTTCTTCAGGACGTTCAATAAATAATAATAAAATGATGTCAGATTCCCAAATGCAACAACAACATTCTCAATTATTATTACAACAACAAAGATATTGGACAGCACAACAACAACCCCAAAAACAACCACAAAATTATAATACTATCCCATTACAACAGCAACAACAATTTGGAATTACTCAACAAACCTTTATGAGTCAACAGCAAATGATGCCTGGAGGAGGAATGATTCCTCAAAATAATATGATGTTACCACAACAACAACAATATGGAGGTATAAAATAGTCCTCTTTTTTTACAGGAGCTACATAGTTGGTGTTGAACTCCCCAAGAGTTGTAATCCTTCCCTTACTTTTGGGGTTTCTTCCCTAGGTTCTGGCTTCCTGGGATTCCTCTTCTGAATTCCGCCAGGAACTCCTGAGTTCTGTTTAAATAGGAATGAGAGAGAACCCTGGCCAAATTTTTGTTCGGTGTGTTATAAACTGTAGAGATTGACTGCCTTTTTTGCCCGGTTCTCTCTCTATCTCTCTCACCCTTTTATGAGACATTTGGACGTTAAAATCATTTCTTAATTATTTCAGGAGTACAACAACCAGTACAAATGATGCCACCAGAATATCCACCAAATTTCCCACAAGAAATTATTCAAAAATTAAAACTTATGGGTCCAAATGAACGTCCATATTTTGAAAAAGTTTGTCAACTTCAACAATTTGTTGGATTTTTACAAAATAACTTAATTAAATATCAAAGTGATGGAGCTATGGTTAGTAGAATAAATACAATGCTTTCTGTTTTGCGGTTTGAACGGTTTGTAAAAATTTTTTCTATTAGGAGGGGGTTGGTTTGAAATTATTGTTCATCCACGTTACAGGTCATTATCGGCTTAGGAAGTCGGAGTATCGAGGATTGCCTGGGGCTAAACTTTACCTTTCTTTTACTTTATATAATTTTTGAAATTTTTTTCAGTTTTATGGGAATGAATGAATTAAATGATATTGAAATTGTTATACGTAAAATGATGTTTACTTCACATCCAAGTTATGCTGCAACAGCACAACAATTACAACAACAGCAACACTCATCAGCAATAGATCCTTATGGACAAATGGCTGGTAGTAATCAAATGCATCCTACAGCAGCTGCTGCAAATTGGAGTGAATGGAGTACTTTACAAAATACACCCCAGCATGCAGCAATGGTTGGTTCTTCAGGAATGATGCGTGGGGGTGGTGTTGGTGTTGCAGGTGGTTATTCTTCGGGAGCTACTACAATGCAAAAAATGGTACAGCCAACACAAGCTTCGTCTTATATGCCTGGAGGTTTGGGATTTAAATAATAAATGGGTGGGATTAGTGCTTGCCACTTGACCGGATCTGGCTGGATTTTTCCGGAGGCCGGGTCCTAAATACTGTATTTTTGCAATCTTCGGATTTTTCCGGACCGGAGTAATCCAGAAAAATCCTGTCGGATCGGGTCAGGCATGAATGCAAAATCCAAACTCCCGTTTCCGGTCCTAAATGACCTTTTGGGACGAAGTGTCTAGTTTTGAATTTTTTAGGTGTAAATACGTCCTCATCCTTTTTTGGCAGTGCTCCTCCCTCTTCTCAACATGGAGGAGGTGTAGCTCCAATTAATTCCTCTCATTCACAACCTCCGTATTCCTCTTCTGGAATGATGATTGACCAAAAATATCAACCTCCACAATATTCAACATATACTTCACAACAACAACAACAATATCCCCAACAACAACGTCAAACATATGGAAGTAATGTTATAGATAATACAAATACAATGTCTGTATCAAATCAACCTATAATGACTCAACAAATGCAACAACAGCAACAATGGCCGACTTCTACAGGTTTTTTTATTTTTAATCAAACGATCCATGCCGTAGACGCCCTGGGTATAATGGAAAGGAATGATGTTTAATGACAAGGAAAAGGTGATTTTATGTCGGTGAACTTCGCATACATGTATGTCACGTGTTGAGAACAAGTCGAGTTAGGTTTTCAATTTTTCGGGTCTGGTAGTGTGAAAAAGAAAGCGTAAAGGGGGCAAGAAAAAGAATATTTGGACAATCTTCCATGATTAAAAAATTTTTCTCACAGGTGATACTGCTATTGATGATTTATATTCTTCTATGGATGATCTTTTACCTGTGCCTACTGAACAACAAACGCCTTCAAGTTCTAATTCTGGCCGTCCTTTGGATAATATGTTGGGAAGTGGAAATGTTGGAGGTTTTTATTTTTTTAGAAATCTTTTTCAAGAAAAAATTCTTTCTAGGCCGTTCAAGTGGAATTACAGTCAATATTTCCCAACTCCCCGATGCAATACGTTCAGAAATTGCAGAGTTGGAACAACGCTTTCAATTTGATTCAATTGTTGAAATTGCTTCAGATATGCACTCTTTTGTGATAAAATGTATTTTGAGTAAGTATTTTAAGTAGTTGAAGGGATTGAGTGGGATATAGGTGGAATTTGGGGGTTATTAGAGGGATATCTAGTGTTTTCGGGGATTAAGTGGATTTGTAGTGGTTAAGGGTGAGTGTTGGATTAATAGGATGGATTATGAGGATATGAGATTAAGGTTTTAGAGGGATATAGAGGAAAATTTTAATTTTTTTAAGGAAGCCAGCAAGTTCCACCACTTCGTATTATTATTCCTCGTGGTTATCCTGTTGGAGCAGTTTCAGTAAAAAGAGAAATACTTGATTTGGGTATATTTTTTTATATTTTTTAAATAGCGCGTTAATGCCAAAGTCCTCTAAAAGCTGACGAAATGCCAAACTGTGGACAAAGCGTCATAATGTCAAATAAATGTCAAATTTTTGGCAACCATTAGGGCAACTTTGTCCGTTATTGGAACAGCATTGCCAGTTTGTTGGGTTTTTCCCCATTGTTTGGCATTTCGGCGGTCTATTGGGGGTTCGGCTTACGTCGTTTTGGCATTACGGGATCTTACCTTAAATTTTATTTAAAATATTTATTTTTTCTTCAAAAGATTCTTTCTATTTTGATGACCTTCAAAATTATATTCACGAACAATTTGGAAAATTAAATTCGCGAACAATAACAGATATATTAAATACATGGGTATTTTTTTTAAATTTTTTAAAATTTAAATTAATTTTTTTAAAGGAGAGTGCAGTTCAACAATTTTATGAAAATGAACAAATGGGTCAAAATAATAATTTTGAAGATTTTTCGGGTTTTACTAATTAAGTATATTTTTAAATAGGTAATTTTGGGGGGAGTGGTAAGGGACAAAGTATTAAGAAAAATTATTTTTTAAGGAACATATTAATTAGGCAAAATTTTCCATTTTTTAATTTTTAAATTCTAAAAAAATATATCAGATTTACTAAAAAAATTATATTATTTTGTAAGATTATTTAAGTATATGGGTGAGAAAGGCGTTGGGGTTAGTAGAGTAAACTTAAAGGGATATGGCCGAATTTTATTTTTCTGATTTCTGTGTTAGTTTGGGGTCAGCTGCTGGAACTCTATCAGTCAAACTGATCCTAAAGGTATCCAAATATTTGTATTTGACTTTCTCCGGCGATTTTTGACCTTTTAGGTTTTTGTTTAAAAAAATTTTCGATTTTTCTAGATAAAATTCGGTCTATCCCTTTTCTACATACAAAAAACTTTCCAGTATTCTAATTGTAATTTAGATATATTATATATACACTGCGACGCAAAATTATACGTCCACCCCTTTTTTCGAAATTTTTTTCATTTGTATTGATCAGAATTTTCTGAAAATTTTTATACAAATCCTTTGGTGAATAACTAACAAGATGTATATGGTTTTTTGCCGAAATTTTTATTTAAAAAATTTTTAGACCAAAATTTGTGTTTTCGGCCTACGCAAAATTATACGTCCACTTTTCAAAAAAGTTAGTTCCAATAATGGGAAAAATCTACAAAAATTTCAGTAAACTTATATATTGATATTATAAAAAATAAAAAAGAAAGTAGGTCCATATCGTTACTCTAAGCCGAGATCCTGAGACCACGAAAATCAACGTAAAATGGGGTTTTTCAACTTTAAAAAATATTTTCGACCCCTGATGGATTACTGTAAATTTTGATTTTAGGCTCATTCGAAAGCCCTTGAAATTTGCTATAAGACATCATCAATCATATTTTTCAGAAAAAATTTTAGGGAGAGATACAGGCATTTAAACTTCAGAAGCGGCATTAAGGGGAATTTTATGGGGCATTTAGGCGTTTTTCCTGCATCAGAAGTTTAGATGCCTGTTACTCTAAAAGAAATTTCTTCTGGAAAATAAGATTATTGCTTTCTTGTAGTAAATTTCAAGGGCTTTCGAATGAGCCTAAAATCAAAATTTACAGTAATACATAAAAGGTCGAAAATATTTTTTAAAGCTGAAAAACCCCATTTTACGTTGATTTTCGTGGTCTCAGGATCTCGGCTTAGAGTAACGATATGGACCTACTTTCTTTTTTATTTTTTATAATATCAATATATAAGTTTACTGAAATTTTTGTAGATTTTTCCCATTGTTGGAAATAACTTTTTGGGAAAGTGGACGTATAATTTTGCGTAGGCCGAAAACACAAATTTTGGTCTAAAAATTTTTAATATAAAAATTTTGCCAAAAATCCTTATACATCTTGTTAGTTATTCAGTAAATGATGTGTATTTAAATTTTCAGAAAATTCTGATTAATACAAATCAAAAAATTCCGAAAAAATGGGGTGGACGTATAATTTTGCGTCGCAGTGTATTTTAAGATTGTGTAATTTGTTTTTTAGTTATTTAGTCATTATATATATTTGTTTCAAAGAAAGAAATTTTTTCTTCATTTTTATATTTTTGTGATAAAAATTAGAGTATTTTTCTTAATATTTATGCAAAAGAATTCTTTTAAAAGTTGATTTATATATTCATTCTTTGTTGTTCTGTATATATATATTCTCTTACACACCCCCGAAACACTTGTACGTGGTGAGCAAAACAACTAACATACCAAGTTTTATCTCTGCCTATAATAATCTCCGGGGGAAATCCCAGTTCAATCCTTCTAAAGATAATATCAAGGGAAAGTTGTAGGCTCGATCCCGGCCCATAAACTTTAATGCCAAGGGGACGTTGCCATAAACTCAATTTTTCGCCTAATTTTTACTCAACTAATAAAAATTTCAACAAACTTTTTATTTCCTTTTCAATTTAACAAAAAAACTTTGACATTTAAATAACCATATTTAATCTTTCAATCAACTAATCATCCGCAACTGTAACCTTCTCGCTCACATAAATTCCATCCAAAAATTTACGAATGTCTTTGTTCTTGACAGTTGTCGATTGTTGAATACGCGCAGCTAAAAAACAATTTTTTAAAAAAGAAAATAAAATGAGACTCTTACCAGCTTGAGAAACCTTCTGAACATCATTTCCATCAATAATTAGCTCGTCTTTCAACTTTGTCGAAATTGCAGCAGAAACACCTTCTGGAAGTTTGACACGTCGAACAAACTTTTCGCCAAGGAAGTTTCGAATCTATACGAGAAAATGTTAATTGTTGATATGTAGAAAATCGATCAGTAGACATCAACAATTTGTAAAAAAGGGTTGGGGCCATCCAACGAGGGATGAGTTGGGGCAATCCTCCGGGCTCAAAGATCTACGACTTGTACCAAGTGCAACGCCTACGGGGTCCAGACAACCGTCTGTGAGGGAAGTATGGGGGTCAACTACGAACTTATCTCTTGAATATTGTCAAATCTGATTGGCATCTGTGAATTTTACAAGGACAGGCTTCCCAAACTTTAAATAAATAAACCCCAAACCTCGATAACTTCTCCTTTCTCCTGCAACGTAATGTTGATAGGAAAGTGAGCATAGACCGAACGCATCTTGTATCGGAAGCCTTTAGTCACTCCCTTAAAATAACAAAATTTTGCCTGTTCACTGATTAAAAAGACAAACCTTAATCATATTCACAATATGCGAACAAACTGTTCGGATAGCAGCCAATTCCTTTCGAATTCCAAACCATTTACGAACACGAAGTATATTAGCTCCTTCCTGTGTTATTTCAATATTGAGATGACGAAAATCGCGTGTAAGCGTTCCACGAGGTCCAGTCACCTTGACAAGTCTGTTCTTCACAGAAAACTTTACGCCTTCTGGAAACTTGACAGTGTCGCTTGATTCAATCAACTTCATTTTTTAATAAAATAGTAGCAATAAGCGTCTAAATTCTAAAAAAAATTTGAAAAAAATTGAAAATTTGTTAGGTCTGTCGCGTGCGAGTAAGCAGTTGACATTTTGAAAAGTTGATATTATGAAAAATACATAATAATATTCCTCTTCTACAAAATGGCAAATTTTTCACTTAGGGACGTTTTGTGTTTAGGTGAATAGAAACTGACTAGTATAAAAAGGTAAATAGAAAATGTCCAGTCCATTTTTTTAGTTTTATTTTACTTATTAACTTCGTCCCCCCTATTTCTTAAAATTAGTCTTACGTATTGTTAAAATGTGTTAAGTTTGACTTTTTTAATATTTCGCGAAAATAAGAGGGGAACGAAATTCAATTTTATCATATTTTTTTTTCTTTGCAGATATTCATTTAATAATTTAAAATATAAAAATTTAAAAATGTCTGACGGTGAACAACATGATGCATCCGACTCTGAGGTTAATGGTGAAGGATCCGTTGAAAAACAATCTGCTTCGTTTACTGACGAACAGATGCAAATGGAGGTTTTTTTTGCTTGAGATAAATTGTGAATTATTTTTTATTAGATTAAATGCAAGACAAGCGATGGAGGGGTGATCAATGTTCGTGTGTCTCATCTTCTTCAAAGCAGTGTCTTCAAGAACATGTGGAAGGTAATAGATCCATTTTACCTTATGCTTAAGTTTCACGAGATAATTTCTGTTATAAGTTTCTTAATCCCAACAAATCCGTTATTCGCCCAAATATTTAGAATTGAACCCTAGGGTCTATTGATCACTAGGGGTTGATTTCTGGGGAGTAACCTTTAGGGTTGATTCCATTTTAACTTTCAATATTTCTCAGGATTTGGACATGTCGCCTAAGGATATGGAAGAATTTGAATTCAAGGTCAACGTCGAGACCAATATCTTCTCCAAAGTCGTTGAGTGGATGGGAGAGCATATTGGTTAGTTTATTCATTTTTTCCAAAAACGTTTATTTTTTTAGGTAAGCCGGATCCTAAAATTGAAGATGATCCGGCTACTCGTCAGCGTAAACCACTTACTTTTTCCGAGTATGAAACGGATTTCTTTAAGGTTTTTAATATAAGAAATAATTTAGTAACTTTTTCACAATTTCTTAGGTCGGCGTTGAGGAGATCGCTAACTTGATTAAGGCCGCTAACTATCTGGACATCAAATCTTTGGTAATGCTTTAAATTATACAAATAAAATAGATAATTTTTTTAGTACTATTCTGGTTGCCAGGCTATGGCTAATGTTATTGGCAATAAGACACCAGAAGAGCTTAGAGAACTCTTTGGACTTGAGGTTTTTTTGTCTAAATGAAATAAATTTGTAATATTTATTTTTTAGGATGACTTGACTGAAGATGAGAAGGCCGATATCCGCCGTCGGAATATGTGGTGCAACTATTAAAGAAGAGTGAAAGAAGGAATATTTTGTAGAAACAATTGAATGATCTTGGCGCCTTCTTTGACTTTATTGTCGTCTTAGTTGATATTTATAATTTAATCTCAGGGTGTCTTTAACTGTTAAAATTAAATATTGCCTCATGTCTTGATTTTCTTCTTAATGTTAAAAATACTTTTAATATTTTAAAATTGATTTTGTGGTGTGTTCAAAATTGGACACCTTTTTCTCTCAAAACATTCTCTTAGACAAAGTATCTCGCTCAATCTCAATAAAAAATTGTTTTATTTGTTTTGGATATACTTTAGCCGGTGGCCCACTCAGAAACGGGACAAATTATATACCATACGATTCGTCTCGGCGAGCTGAGTCGAATGGTACCATTCTTTTTTTGCGGAAATGCCTACGAGCCGAGATATAGGTCCTTGAAAACCGAAAAACCATAGGGGGATTGTTTTATTTGTTTTTTAATAATTTAAAAGTCTTCCAGGACAATTCAGCTATCTTTTGTTTTATTTTGACCGAATTTTTAATACTCGAAACTAAATTTTAATTTTTACTTAGTTAATCTCATTTCTACATTCCTTTACATAATATTATATCAAAAATGGTTGAAATCAGAGAAGAATCTTCGCAACCAAACAATTCAGGCCAACAACCAAATAATTCTAATGTCCAGCGAAAAACGCCAATGGTTTCTTTAATTTAATTTACGGATTAGAAAAAAGTCGGGTTTCGGGTCGGGGATTCAAAATTTTCCTAGGATCGGATTGCGGGATAAAGAAAGGTTTTGGTCTCATGTTGGGTCAGTTAGGGGGATTAGGAGGGAAAAGTCGGGGTGGCTTTCGGATAAGGGTTTGGAAAATTTATCGGATCGTGTTTTGGTAAACCGTGACACCCCTGATACAGTTCTTATTTCATTTTCTTTCATTTTTTAAGGAGTTTGTCAAAGAATACCCAAATGATGTTTTAGCTTTTGGCTTACGTTTGGCAACATTATATTTTGTGATTTGTTATATACTTCCAATTACTGATTCAAAATTCCAAGCTTTAGCGTATACCAAAGCTTTTGCAGCAGGTTTCGTTTTTTGTTGCTTTGTAAATACTCTTTAAAATTAAGTTGCGGCAACGAATGCTTTTCGTCTTCATCAACGCTTAAGAGCTGTAAATTGGCCATTTTTTAGTCAAATGTTTCTTTATGAGCTTATGCTTGAGTTTGTATTTTAAATTATTTTTTTAATTTAATAGGGGGAAATATTTTCTTTAAATGATAAAATCTCTTCCGCGTTCGGTTGGAGGATAAAATTTTAATTTTGAAAGACTTCTGAATTTTAATTAAGCCGGTGATGTTCCTCCCAGTGGGGTTGATAAAGCAAAAATTAGAATTATAAATTAATGGCTTGATGGTTAAGTGGTTAACTTCCTCTCCTCGACGATTTTTAAAAATTAAATCAAGTCTATCCAATCCTTTTTTCTTTGATAAGTTCAACCGTTTTACTCTATTTTCTATTTTTAGGGATTCTGCGCATTATCTACTTTATTGTATGATTTTTGTCATATCATCTCCAATTACATGTAATTATTTAAAATTTTCTCTAAAAAATTTTTTCTTTTATTTATTTTCAGTGGCTCTTCTCCCAGTTTCAATTTATGCAATTTTCAATTTAATTGCAACTCTAAACAAATTTTCTACCGAAACTGGAGTTGCTCATAATTCTTTTATAATTTCTCGGCTGGTTCAATTTAAGCAACAGGCATCTCCAAATATGTTAAGTACTGCTGCTTGTGCTGAAATATTTCTTTTGCCAATTATTATTTTGATGATTTTTATGTTCGGTTTTTTTTTAATTAAAAAATTTTTTGGGGGTTTTTTGAGGGGATTTTTAACCTAAGACTACGTTTTTGATTCTCTTTTTATTTTGAAAAATTGTTTTTATTAAGTTTAAAAATTATTTTCCCTGGACGGGTTCGAACCTTAGACCCCCCGCCCCAGTATTTGTCTACAACTGCGCTACACTAAAAGAATTTTTTGATTTATTTGTGAGGGATTTTAACTTAAGAATATATTTTTCACTCTCTTTTGTTCTGAGAAATTATTTTTATACAGTTTAAAAATTATTTTCCCTGAACGGGTTCGAACCTTATACCCCCTCCTCCCCTCAAGTAATCTAAAATCTCCACTACACCACAAGAAATTTTTTAAATAAATATTTTTAATTTAGGGGCAAATCAAGTTTAATTGGGCCATTTGTTTATTATCGCTTTTTGACGATGCGATATATGTCTCGACGAAATCCGTATACAAGGTTTTTTTATTTTTCTTGAATCTTAAAGAAAATTTTAATTTTTCCACAGAGAAATGTTTTCCCAATTAAAATTTATTTTCAATTCTTGGGCCAACAATCCTTCATGTCCTGCATTCGTTTCTTCTTCAATACTTAAATTTATTGCGTTGATTGAACGTTTGGCTCCACAACAAGTTGCTATGTAAAAAAATTTGATTTTTTTATTAAGATGATCTATAGTTGATTTTTTGTGATTGAGAGACTGATCTTTACAAAAAGTATATTTTTTAAATTTTTTTTGTTTTGACCAATTAATGACCAATTAATGCTACCAAATCGTTGTTTTTTAGTTGCTTTTTTACGACAGTGGGTGGTAGTTTCCTTCAAAAAATTTTTGAAACTTATTCCTTTTAATTTAACTATTTGGCAGCATTATTATCAGGGATGTTGCGAGTTACTCGAAATCTGGACTTCTTTCAACCCAAATTTTTCTAAACTCGACCCGAACTTCTTCCCCTCTTAATCCCTTTAACTGATCCAACCTGAAACTCATCAGCCCGAAACTCGGACTCCTCGATTCAAAACCGATAACCTTTTTTCTCAACCCGTGTGACTTCTTTGATTCCTATGGTTAGCATACTCCAAAATATTTTTTTGAATATTTTGTTTTAAAAATCTTTTCTGGTTTTACTTTTATTTTTGTTTAATAAATTTAATAATTCAGAAAATTTTCGATTAATTCTTTTAATTATGCAATGCTTTGGTTATTGCATTGTTTCCCCCAAAAAAACTAACAAATTTTTTCGTACAAAAAAATTTTTTAAGCTTTAGAATAACCCCTTTTCTCCCCTGCTCTTAAAATCCCTCAAAGTTGAGTCATCATTTAAAATTTATTTGGCCCGATAAGCGCAAAAATGTCGGACCTTTTTCTTTCTTTTTTAAACGCGGTCAATGTTTGTATTTCCCCCCCCCTTTTTTTTTGCTCTATGGATTGCTTTTGTATATTTGCTTTTCTATCACAAGGAAAAATAAAGGTAAGCAACGATTTCTTTTTTAATATAATATTTTTGTTTTAAGAGTTAAGATTCGAGAGTGTGCACAACCAGCGCTTTGGAAAAAAATTTTTTTCATTAAGGACAGGACAATGTATAAATTTTATTATAATATTGATATAAATTTTTTTTTAATTTTAGAACCAGAAAAATATGGCAACAACATCAGCACCTATACAATTTGTGGCTGGAAGTGCTTTAAAAATTGTTATAATTTTGCTGACAATTGTGGTGTTGGTTTTGCTTGATCCTTCTTATGTTACTGCTTATATTTCTGTAAATTTTTTAAATTTCTTAAAATTTTTTTGAATTTCCCTTTTTTAGATAAATTATGAAATTGTTCTAATTTATATCATTTCTGCTCTAACTCTTCTTTATTGTGTTGTTTCGGTAAATTAAGTTTTTAATTTTCAAAAATGATAGTGTAAGAAATTTTTTAAATTTTTTATTAAAGATCATAATGTATGCAATAATGCAACGAAGTGTGCGGGAAGGCGAAGAACTCCATTTAACTAATTGCTCGTTGTCGGTTCGTTTCTTTTTAAATTTTTTTAATATTTTTTTTATTTTGTAGGAAATTGTGTTTGCTGGTGCTGGGATGATTTGCTGGTTTTTTTTTTTAATTTTTAAATTTTTTTTAAATTATTTTCTTTAAGGATGTTAGTTTGCGGCATTGGAGGCACTGTCGCCCAACGGACAATAATTGATGTAAATAAAAATAAAGGATGTAAAGGTTGTTCGAAACCCGAACCCCGGGCTTTTTTCAACCCGAAACCTAGTCCTAGGAAAATATACCCGTTCCGAAACTTAACCTGACTCCTCTTAATTTCTTTAACTGATCCGACCTACACACCGACTCAAGACTTTTCTCAGGCTTGAAACTTTATTTTAGAAATTTTCCAAACCCTGATTTTTCTCAACCCGAGACATCCCTGATATTTAAATTAAAAATAAAAATTTTTCTAATTTTTTTTTTTAATTTTTAGACTGGAGAATACTTTGGTTGGCTTGGGGTGGGTTTATTTTTAAAAAATATTTTTTTATTTAAACAATTATATTAGGCATGTGCCGGTATAATTGTTTGCCTTTTTGCTGGAGTAGTAAGCCAAAAAATTAAAAGAAATATTTTTAACTTCAAAAAATCTTTTCTAGTTAGCCCTATTTGCTTTGGATATTTTGACAAACAAAATTCTGAGCCCCCAACGAAGAAAGTATCGTTATACTCCTCCACAAATTTGAATGAAAAAATATTTCTTTTAGTTTAAAATTTAATAAATATACACTCCTTTCATTTATTTTTCTTGAGAGATCTTTTTTTTCTTTACATTTATTAATTAATATAAGCGCAGTACAGCAATTTTAAAATATGTTTCAGGAAATTATGATTATTTTCCGGAAGGAATAACTAACTTTAATAAACTTTTTCGTTTATCATTTGTTTGGTGTAGTGGTAAGGTGCTTGGTTTTCTATTGTTAATAGGTGATGGTTCGAACCCTACTATCGGAGACTTTTTTGTTTTACCCTAAAATTAATTTAATACCCCCAAATTTATTTTTTAAAGTTGCTGTGAATTTAATTTCATATATTTTAAAATAGATAAAGGGGAAATGAGCGAAGCGAGAGCATTTATTTCTTTTTTAAATGCGAAAATATTTTAAATAATTTTTAAATTCTTTTTAAAATTTTCTTTATCTTCTTCGTTTCTTTTTTATTTCCTTCCAAATCTGACAAATTCGTGCTTTCTCTTTCCAAAACGCAAATACTGAAAAAAAAAATTTTTTTTTAATTTTTTTGAGAATTTTTCTTAAATTTTCTTTTACCTCATGCTTTCTCTTTTCCCGTCCGGCATCCTTTTCTGCGAGTCCTTTAACAGTAAAAATTTTTTTAGACTTTAAATAACTTTTTATTAACCATGTGTAGCAGCTAATCTTTCAATTCCTTCAGTTACAAAATTTCCTAATTGAGACAATAGAGTAGAAGATTCATAAAGTTGGCAAAGTAGTAAACGTTCTTCATCTCCCCCAGCCAACTTTTTAAAATTTTTAAATATTTCTCTTTAAAAAAATTTTTTACTTGTGCACAATTATCTCCTCCATTTTCAGCTAATCCCGGTTGTAATAAACAAACCAAAACACAAAATAAAGATAAAATAACCATTAAGAAGGAATTGTTAGATGGCTGCATTTTTGAGAAAAATAATCTTTTTCTTTAATAGTTCTGACTAAAAAATAAATATAAGGTAAATGCTCTAATTAAAGCCCTGGGCTTTTATTCTTCAATAGGTCTTTTGAGTGGGTTTCTATTAGTTACAGGAAACTTTAATAATATTTCCGGATTTTTAATTACTTTCCGGAAGGAATATCTAACTTTAATAATCCATTTTTTAACATGAGTCAGTTGGTGTAGTTGGAAAGTGCTTGGTTCTCTATAGTTGGGTTCGGTGGTTCGAACCTTACCAGTTTCAGTTTTTTTGTTTTACCCTAAAATTAATTTAATAGCTCCAAAATTTATTTTTTAAAGTTGTTGTCTATTAGAAAGTGAATATAAGGGCTTCTTTTATATTAGAGCATTTCCGTTTTTTCTTTTTTTAACAATTAATTTTTTTGGGGGCAAAAAATTTGCCAAATTAAAGGAACCAAAAAATTAAAGGAACCAAAAATGAAAATAAAAAGGAGAAAATATATTTTTTTCTTTTGTCCTGTCCTTTAAATTAAAGTAATAATCAAAAAGCTAGTAGTAAAAAGGGCAAACCCCCGAACGGCAAAAAAAGTAGTAGAAATATGTTTTTATATTTAATGAATATAGCATGCTTTTATTTAATCCTTCTGTTATTTTTTGGGGGTTTTTAATTAATTAAAAAATTATTTTTAAAGTTCTTATGGTCCCTTAAAAGTTTAGAAATTTTCTAGGAATTTCTTAAAAATTATTATTGTGCTTCCTATTTATTTTTTTTAATTAATTAAAAAAAATTTTTAAGGGTCGGGTTTTAAGGGTCCTTTAGGTTTTAAATATTTTTTAGAATTTTTTTAAAGAATTTTAAAAATTATTTTGGCCTTCCTACAAATCTTTGTAAATTTTTTTAAAAGAATTTGCATATATTTATATAAATGAGAACACCCATGTAAAGCTTTAAAAAGGAGGGGAATTTAAAAAAAAATTAATTTAAATTAATTTTTCTTCTTGGTGGTCCTTTAAATTAAGAAAAAATTTTTTAAAAAACGTCCTCATAAAATTCCTGCAAAAATCATAGGAGAGAATTTAAAAAAATAAAATTTTTACGTAGAATAATTTTATGTTAAATTTTCTGTTTTTGACATGAAAAAAAATTTTTTCTGCCTGAGGCTATAAAGATTTGAATTTTTTCGGGATTTATTGGAAGTGTCCAAAAAATTTTTTTATTTTTTATGCCAAAGGCATTCAGTAATTAACACAAAATGTGTAAAATAAATTGACAAATAAATTTATTTTATTTGTGTGTTTTTATTGGATAAAAAAAAGGATTCGCACCAATGGAGTTTGGGGAGATTTTTAAGTAAATCTTTTTAAAAAAATTTTTGGTAAAATTTAAAATTCAATTTACCCAGGGATGGGGCTGATGACGTTAGAGTAAAAGAAAAAAGGAAATTTAAAAGGCCAAAAACCTGTAATCTTTTTTTAAGGCAAAAAAGATTTTTGTTTATATCCCCCGTTTAAATAATAGTTTTGACTTTTCAACAAACAAGTTAAATATTATTCAAAATAAACGGAAGGAAAAGCCTTGTTATCCTTCATATATTTTTGTCCTTTTAAAAAAAGTTTTCCCCAAGTTTCTTGTCACAAGAAAAAGAAAATTAATAATTAGCCAAATTTGGCTTTAGTTTTTTTAATACAAAATATTATTTTTTGGCTGTTAGAGACTGAATATTCTGGGAAAAAATATTCTAATAGACGCCCTGGGCATTTATTTTCCAAAGGGTATATAGTGGACTATTAATAGGCTTGGGCTTCTACTAGAGAGGTGGCTTCCCCCAGGAGCCGGTCTTTTATTAGAACATTTACTTTATTTTTTCTTCCATTTTTCAGACTCTAATGTCCTCTTTGTTTTTCAAAGTTTTTGGAAATCCCTAGAGGATTTCAAAAAATTTGTTAATTAAAAGACAACGTGTTTTAAGTATATTTATTTATGTAAAGTTTTAAAAATATATCCAAGGAGTGCGGGGGATTTGCTTCAATAAATTTATAAAATTAAAATAAATTTTTTTAGTTTTAAACAAAATATTTTTTAAAAATCAATAAAAATTAGCTTAGATTCTCAACTTTATAGAACGCCTGCTTTACACTATATGAGTTAAATTGAATTTTTAATCCTGTCTTCTGATTTGATGAATATACTTAAATCGAGAATTATGTAGATCTACTTGCGTATCTTCAAATTTGAAAATATTCACTAAATTTGGCATAATGTAAATTTTAAAATTAAATGACATTTTATCCCAATGCAGAGAAAATAGCGTGGTTAGAGAAACTGAGAAAAACAATTCAAAAATCGCCAATTTTGGCGAAATGTAAAAATTAAAATAAATGACTTTTTGTCCTCCAAGCTAGAGAGATTATAAAAAAGAAATAGTGTAGTTAGAGAAACGAGTAAATAAGAAATTGTGTTAGTTGAGTACAGGTTGTTGTGAGTAAGGTTTAAAAAAATTTTTAATTTTCAAAAAATCGATACTAATCGATAAAATCAATACTTATCGATAATTATTTTAAAAAAATTTTTAATTTTCAAAAAATCGATACTAATCGATAAAATCAATACTAATCGATAATTTATTTTTAAAAAATTTTTAATTTGCAAAAATCGATACTAATCGATAAAATCAATACTTATCGATAATTAGGCCCTATCCCGAAAGAAGGGTCGAATCGTTTTTTTTCATTACTTTTTATTAGTTTATAAAAATGGTCAATTTTCCTTAGAATTGATGTATGTTGATGTTTGCCTTAAGGAAAAATGGAGAAGGACAGACAATGAAAGAAGAACACAGACAACATAACAAGGACGGACCAAACACAGACGGACACATGTCCGACCGTTCGTGTCCGTCCTTATTTTGTCTGTCCGTGTTCGTCCGTGTTTTGTCTGTCCGAGTTCGTCCGTGTTTTGTCTGTCCGAGTTTGTCCGTGTCTGTCCGAGTTCGTCCGTGTTTTGTCTGTCTGGGTCCGTCCGTGTCCGTCTATGTTTTGTCTGTCCGGGTCCGTCTGTATTTTGTCTGTTCGTGTTCGTCTGTGTTTTGTCCGTCTTGATCCGTCCGTGTTTTGTGTCTCCGAGTCCGCCCAGCAAACAAAAACAAGGAAAAATATAAAAAATTAACCTCTGTCACCATTTTTCCTTAAGGCAAACATCAACATACATCAATTCTAAGGAAAAATGACCATTTTTATAAACTAATAAAAAGTAATGAAAAAAAAACGATTCGACCCTTCTTTCGGGATAGGGTCGATAATTATTTTAAAAAAATTTTTAATTTTCAAAAAATCGATACTAATCGATAAAATCAATACTAATCGATAATTATTTTTAAAAAATTTTTAATTTTCAAAAAATCGATACTAATCGATAAAATCAATACTAATCGATAATTTATTTTTAAAAAATTTTTAATTTGCAAAAATCGATACTAATCGATAAAATCAATACTTATCGATAATTATTTTAAAAAAATTTTTAATTTTCAAAAAATCGATACTAATCGATAAAATCAATACTAATCGATAATTTATTTTTAAAAAATTTTTAATTTTCAAAAAATCGATACTAATCGATAAAATCAATACTAATCGATAATTTATTTTTAAAAAATTTTTAATTTGCAAAAATCGATACTAATCGATATCAATTCATAAAATCAATACGCTTTTTAACTTCACAAAAAATTGACACCCATAAAATAAATATCAATCTGTAAAATCGATGTTAATCGTCATTCTACTAAATTTTCACTTGTAAGACTCAAACAAAATTGCAAGAAATAAATACAAGTTTATCTTTTAAAAAATTAAACAACAGACAAATAAATAATAAACTTTTTTTCTTTTTCGACCTCATTCGAACTCAAATTGCATTTGTATCCAATCTATTGAAAATAAAAATTCATTAAAAACATTTAAATTGAAAAAAGGTTATTTTATAACTTCTAGTTAAATCAAAAAAATCAATTCCCTTGGTGGGATTCGAACCTACACCCATCAGTAGCATATCCAAAACTCCTACCAGTTACACCACAGAGACATATAATTACAACAGAAATTTTATCGACTATAATCTAAAGAGAATAAGGAAAACATCAAAAGGAGTAACCTACACTCTCCAAGGTAAGCCTTTCAAAAAATAAAAAGGAAAAAACGAACCAATTCACATTTGCTTTTACATATTCAATTGATCCATTAATCCATTAATTGGTAGTCGTGCTCTTATCTAAATTTAAAAGATTACTAATTAAAAAGACCATATTAACTGGAGATTAGGTTAAAATATTCGGAGTTGTTATAGAAATCTTATTCAAATATCAAAGACTATCGATAGTCTACGAAGCTTATAAACAATAGAAGGGATAATTTGAGAAGGGATAATTTTATAGCCCATACGTTCTTTAAACTTAAAAAATAAAACTTTAACGAGCAGAAACGTCTGGAATTTGCGTTGTTTGCAAAACCTAAGCTTGGAAACTTTCAGAGAAAATGTATGAAACCTTGAACCGAAAAAACCTCAAAAAAGATATTGCTAATTTATTTACCTTTTGACTAAATTTGGGACTCAAAAGAGGGATTTATATTTCCCCATTTTTACTAGCGAAATAAACTTGAGAAAAAGGCTTAACGCTTACTCGAGTTCAAACACAAGAAATATAAAAACCTTTCTCATCGTCCCAACCAAGATATTGACCAGTCAAGCAATGGTGGTCCATCACTTCTCTAATAGCAGCAGCTGATACGGCAGGCATTATGAAAATGAAAATATAAATAAATGAAAATTTAAAAAACCTGTTGGAATAACGAAAGAATTGATGAAGCTGGAGCAACTGACGAAGGCGGCGGTGGAACTAACTGGACCAACGGAATTTAAAGGACATGGATAACTAATGAGCCCGAGGGAATACGGGATTAAAACCAATACTAGGATGAAACACAGGCATAAAATTGGAAACACATTATCTTACTATTAGAA